CACACACACAACCTCCGGCCCACCTTTTGCTGAGAGGCCGGACCCGCACAGCAACTTTGACATTCGCCATGTCCCGCCCGAGTCGCGGGAAAAGACGACGCCACCAACGCAGCCGCCCGAGCCCCGACTCCGCATCACATTTGCGGGACTCCTGCAACCGCTGCAGCTGCTCCCAGAGCCTATCTTCGGCTGCCCGGGGCTTCGCAAGGGAACACGGCCCAACCCCGCCCCGCGCGGCGGCTCCGGAGGGAAGGGCCTGCCCGCCTGGGAAGACAAGAGGAAATGGGGAGGGGCTGCCTGTGGGGCGGCCTCGCGTTTTCCTCAGCCTTTCCCCGCCGCGCCTCGCCTCGCCAGCCGCTGTTCCCTGTGACGGTTTTCATCTGTTCGTCTATTCTGCGGCCTGTTTCCACTTCTTAAGAGGCTTTTCATCCCCAGTTTGCTTAAACCGACGGCTTTCTTCTATTGGACTCAAGAAACCCACTTTACAAAATCCACGGAAACATGTTATAATGCTATATTGTGGAGTAGAGCTTTTCCGTTTTGAATAGTCGTGTTGTTTTTTTTAAACTATGAATTTAGGAAAGTCCAGGTTTTGTTTCAATTTAAGAAGAACCTAGATTCTCTGCTCTGACCAGTGTTACTGAGTAGGCGCCAGTCCAGGGTTCCTCGACAGAATCCCAGCAAGGTATAGCCAAAAGGCGCCAAGCCAGACTGGGGATTTCCAGCTTATTGCTGTATACAGTAGTTCCTAGCCCATCACACCATCAACCATCACACCATCAATTACGAGCCGCCCAGAGACCTTTGGCGGCATATAAGTTGAATAAAGAAACAAACAAACAAACAAACCTGCTTGCAGCTCTTGTCTTTGTGAGCTCAGGCCTGATTTAAAGCTTCTTGTGAAGGGCATGTGGCCGTATCCTTTACTGTCTTAGATCCATTCAGTTGTCTCCATTTGCCCATCCACATTACCTCAGATAGCGAGAAGTGGCTGATAGTTTATTACTTAAAATATTTTTGCCCCACGTTTCTCCTTAAAAAGGACCCAGGGCAGTTTATATCATTAAAATACAGTATTTAAAACTAACAACAGTAAGTACTGTATGCAAATACAAAAAGGATCAAACAAATAACATACTTAAAAAGAACAGAAGCAATACCAAAACACATTCAAAGCAATAAGATACAAATATCAATTTAAAACCCCACTCGGGCAGCCAGTCGCTCAGGGAAAGCTTGCCTGAAGAGAAAGGTCTTTGCCTGATTGCTGAGGGACAGCAAAGATGGGGCTAGGCTAGTCTTTTGTGGGAGGGAGTTTCAAAGTCTGGGAGCAGCAACAGAAAATGTCCTCTCCTGTGTACCCAACAAGTGCACCTGTGAAGGTGGTTAGGACCAAAAGAAATGCCTCTCCTGATTATCTTAATACTCGAGCAACCTCAAAAAGGGAGATGTGATCCTTGACATAACTTGGGCTCAAGCCATTTAGGTCTTTATAAGTTAGAACAAGCTGTTGGGGGGAGATGCGACCATGCATTAAGCTAGTCTGTGGCACTGAGGTGCTGCATAGAACAAATCTAACATCTGGCCCAGACAGTAAAATGGCTTGGACTAGCTAAGATTTTGGATGAAAACAAATGGACTGTGGCCTGCAGGAAATGTGTACAGAGCAAATGTTAAGCAAATGCTTAACCCATTTTCTGTTAGAAGATGCCTAACCAAAAGACCAAGCTTGTGTTCTGGTATTTAATAAAAGAACAAAAAATAAACAAGAGGAACAAAACAGCACATCAGGTAAATGGAAAGTCAATAAGGGAAGGGGAACACCATATATCTGAGGGAGATGATTTTAAAGCCTTCAAGCAATTGATGAAAATATATTTCTAGGCTCCTTAGGAGACAAGAGTCAGGGTCTGATTTTAGTATTGACAGTGTTACCTTTCCTAAAATTAGGAGGCTGTTTCTGAATGATATACACCCCAGAACAGAATACTGTACATCACCTACTCCAGAAGCACTCAAGGGCATCCATGTACTTTACATGCATTCCAAAGAACTCTTGTTTGTGTTATCCAGTTACTCGTAATTACCACTAATAATTTACATTCCATACTATGTCATTATACTTCTCATAATAATTACCACTAATAATTCCATACTATGTCATTATACTTCTCATAGGGGAAAATTTTAGTGTTAATTCTCATAGCATCAGGAGTTATTTCTTGTTTAAAGTAGAATAAAGTGATAGACATTACACATGCTTGCAGGTGATATGAGCTACTCACTATTAGCAGAGGATTATTAGAAATTAAATAGACATTCTGTGCAGCTATTATAGTCTTCAAGTATCAGTCATACTGGCACAAGAGAAGTCATAACAATGTAACATGTCAGTCAATACAGATACAGTTAAGATGTAGGTGCCATGCCCCCTAGTGACAAACCACAATATTTTAAAACTATCAGAGATCAGCATTACTGTATCTGTATATAGCTGCTGGTCATTATACTGTATTGTCACTACATATAATGAAATCAGTTACTTTGATTTTCTTTTTCCCCCAGATGGTATAAAACATTACCAAGCTTCCTTTCTGAAGGTAACTAACACTTAAATGATATGAACACAGAAAAGATTACAAACTAATTGTATTTAAGTTTCTCCAAGTGCAGTGGTTCTCAGGACTACTTGGAATTAAACTCCCAGAAACTGCATCCAGCAGCATTGATGGTGAAGGCATCTAGGAAATTGCAGTCCAAGAATACTTGGATTACCCAAGGTTGGGAACTACTGCCCAGTACATCTTTCTCCAACTTGCAGATCTCAGGATGTCTTGAACTACCCTGTTTCCCTGAAAATAAGACCTAATCTGAAAATAAGCCCTAGTATGATTTTTTAGGCTGCTCGTGAGCCCTACCCCAAAATAAGCCCATTAAGTGAAACCCCACCCTCCACCATTGTGCAGCATTGTGCAGCAACCAGAAGATGACATGACGTATTAAAATAAAGGTAGATTGTTGTACATGAAAATAAGCCCTAATGCCTTTTTTGGAGCAAAAATTAATATAAGACCCTGTCTTATTTTCAGGGAAACACAGTATTACCAATCATCAATCTCAGCTGTAGATGCTGGGAGTTTTAGTCCAACCCATATAGAAGGCACCAGGTTGCAGTTGCTCTAACACAAATACAGTGGTACCCCGCATAGCGAGGTTAATCCGTTCCGGATTAACCTTCGCTATGCGGAATCGTCGCTAAACGGGTAGGGAAAATGTATTGAAACGCATTAAACTTAGTTTAATGCGTTCCAATACCTTGCTTACTTACCCGTTCAGCGAGGATTCCCCTTGCCGGCAGCCATTTTCGCGCCCTCGCTAAGCGAGGGCAGGGCATCACCCTCCACCATTGTGCAGCATTGTGCAGCAACCAGAAGATGACATGACGTATTAAAATAAAGGTAGATTGTTGTACATGAAAATAAGCCCTAATGCCTTTTTTGGAGCAAAAATTAATATAAGACCCTGTCTTATTTTCAGGGAAACACAGTATTACCAATCATCAATCTCAGCTGTAGATGCTGGGAGTTTTAGTCCAACCCATATGGAAGGCACCAGGTTGCAGTTGCTCTAGCACAAATACAGGGAATAAATGTTGCAACTCCCCTAAGTACAAATGTTAACAACTCCTTGTATACACCAGTATAAGTGCAATAGCATAAATCACAGTAGCAAACTATCAGAGTCATGTTTGTTGTTTGTGGAGGCTTCCAGCTGAAAGTAGAACTTTTGAAAATCAGAGTTCCATATCATACATTTATGGACAATTTCCGTTCTGCAATTTTGTGCTTCTGTTACATACGTTTTTTCCTAAACCAAATTACAGACCAAGTTTTGGGAATATCAGACATGGCTTCAAAGACTGGATATGAGCAGAGAAGCAGAGATCTATATAGCTGCTACTTTGGAGTCCGATAGTTCTTATTAAGGAAGAAGAGAGATGCAAATCTTATTTCCAGATGAATCTTATTTATATCTATTGTGAATAGGTTCGTCTTCTGCATGAGGCGAACCCTGAGTTTGTGCGGGAAGGAGAGGCAGAGGCGGCTCTGAACGTTTAACATGAGTCCTTTTATTATCTAACAAATTCAGTTCAACAGCTTCAAATGGGTCTAATAAACTTAATTCAGGTAAAATCCTGTAACTGCGCACTTTTACATCTGGATTCCTCAAATCCCTTCTCACAGAGGGGCCGATTCAAACCATTCCCGATCGGTCATAGGTCTCAGGGGGGTGCTTCTCACGGCACAAACTGTCCCACAGCATGGGTGTCTCACCCAGTCCGCCTCGCGTTGTGGACAGAGTAGAGGGACTGGGACAGATCACCCTCCGTCCCCCACGCTGATTGCGAGGATACACCACCACAGTCCATTCCAGCGGTTCTAGATCGCCCTCCTTTGTAGGAAAACCCCTTGGATCTGGTAACAAACCTCTTCCAATCTGTAGGTTTGGAAAGTCCTTCATCAGACCTGTAGTGCTTTCTTGCCCAAGAACTAGCTCTGTTTGCACTCGACTCTTTCTCTCCGGCTGTCCTCCGTCCGTTAGGATTCTGAAGGTTCGCGCGCTCTCCTCCTCTTTTATAACCTCCTCCCAGATAATCAAGTCCAACTCCTCCCCACCCCCTTCATCAGCTAGACACACCTCTAGTGACTCTTTGCATTCCACCTCCTCTTGTCTTTTTTCCACCAGTATCCCCTCCACGTATCCATGGCTTTCCTCAGAGGTACGATCAGTAGAGGACAGCACACTGGCCTTCTCTCCTTCACATCTATATTATCCATTAAATTACCTATGTTCACAAAGCATAAGCTGTGGAAATATAGCTTTTTATACTTACTTTATTCACTTTCTATAAATACAGAATATATAAAATTAAGGTAGTCATGGCATTTCTCATTGAAACTTTCCTCAAGGACCTCGTTAGCCATCAGTTCCACCAAGTAATTTATGTCCAAAATTTTTATTCCGGAAGACACATACAAGTGGTTGTAACTTTGAGAACAAGAATAAAACACATATTGTATCAATCATACATAACTGCTAATCAGGCTGAAAACCAGGAAGGAACAAACAGTGTGCTATCGTATACTTCTGAACCAAGAATCTGATTCAAGAGTTAGTTGTGAATGGTCAATGAAGATTCTTTTTTGTTTCTCTCTCCACTGCAGTATTTGTTCCGCCAGCTCTTCTGTCTCGGATACCAACAGGTCTATCTTTGCTAGTGCACTATCCTGAAAAATAGTATGAAAATGAAAAATTTCAACAGTTTTCTAAGGCTTTAACAACACGTAGCAAATCAGTAAGGCCAAGATCTAATGGTGCCCTTTGATATACAATGCCACCAGAATTAGAACTTTCTTCACCAGTCCCTTGCACTTGATTAAAAAAAAAAAATGCTTCTAAGGATTTTCCAGATCTTCAGAGCAAGGGGAAATGCAGGACTGAATTACTAGGGGAAAAGTACATACATATACAGCACATCTCTCATATTCCAGGGAAAACATCAGATTTAAATGCAGTAATACTATAGTTTTCTGAAATAATTTGCATGCAGTAGCTGAAACACTGCTAAGCAAGTTATGCCATATAAAACTCATAATGTCATTATTGGCAGCATTTATTTGGAAATTAAACACTTACAATTTCTCCCCCACATGTTCTGAGGCTCCCATGTAATAACTTTCATCATCAGGAAGCTGTTTGGGAAAGCAAGACAAACAGGGGAAGCCTTCAGTTACTGAAAATTGCTGCTGACAGAATGAATTTACTGGCAGCAGTAATTTTCAATAATTTAAGACTTCCCATTCCCATTCCATGGTCCCTAAAACCTTCCCAGTAATGAAAGCGATTACATAAAAGGGAGCCTTGGGACTCTCAGGAGAGAAATTTGAAATGTTAAATTTCTAAAATATAAAAACAAATTAAAAACCATTACTGCTAATGTATGGCAACAGGATTTCAGCCAGTATCTCAGGGTAAAGGCCATTATTATGATGCTAAACAATAAAAAGCTTTTCTAAGACTAGTCAGAAAGCCTATATCTGAGCTGAGGTTTGGGTAGCAGACTTTCAGCACAAAGGAACACAGGGAGTTAATCCAGTATTATCTACCTGGACTGGAAACAATTATCCAGGATTTCAGGTGAAATTCTTTCCCAGCCTGCCTGGAGATCCTTAGCATTCCCTGGTAATCTCCCATCCAAGCACTAGCTTAGCTTGACTATGTTTAATTTAAAAAAACAGTGAGTTCTGGGTGATTCTTGGTGATATGGTGGTTCTCTTATGCAGTACTCCATGCCAGTTGTAGATCATGCTTGTTTATTAATGAAATGGTTACTCACCATGTTTTTTACAGTAAGAGGTATCTGAGGAATGCTTCTTACTGTGGCCAGATGGGTTTCCAGCTTTTCAATAAAAGCTACTGCCATTGTCAACAATTCTACTGCATACCTGGAAAATGCACAAAGGTAGAACAAATCATTAAAAATTCTGCAGTTTAAGAATCTTCAGCCTCTATTTTCAAATCTTCACTATTTAAAAATGTATATAAAGAAACTAGACATAGACATTTTCAAATTGTAGATAACGAGTGACAGTTCTGTAGAAAGTAACATGTGGTAGAATCAACCCTAGACATTCCATTTCTGTGCCAGAAGAACAAATACAGTGGTGCCTCGCTTGACATTAATTCGTTCAAGCGAAATCGCTGTAGAGCGAAAACGTCGTAAAGCGAAATAAAAAAGCCCATTGAAATGCATTGAAAACTGTTCAATGCGTTCCAATGGGCTGAATACCTGCTCTCCCAGCGAAGATCCTCCATACGGCGGCCATTTTTGGGTGCCTGTCTTGCAAAAAATGCCTCCTAAAAACAGCGGGGAGCCATTTTGAACAGCCGGCGGCCATTTTGAAAACCCGACGATCAGCTGTTTTGATCGTCATAATGCAAAGAATCGGTTCCCGAAGCACAGAACCGTTTGTCGCAAAGCGAAAAAACCTCATTAAAACATCATTTTGCAATCACAATTGTGATTGCAAAAACATAGTCGTGAAGCTGATTCGTCATTATACGTGGTAATCATTAAGCGGGGCACGACTGTAGGTATAAAAGCAACAGAGCAGAAATGTAATTACTTTATTTCATTTTTACTCTGTTTTTTTACACCAAATGTATATAAGGGGCATCCAATCCTAGAATTAATATAAGACATTATAAAAACATGAATGAGTAACATGCTTTTTAAAAATTTGTGTCAGAGCAGTGCAATATACAGAAGACATGCAAGAGTTTACTGAAAACAGTAAAATGTGAATAAGAAAAACAGCAGTAACACAATTAAAGCACTATAAAAGCAGTTTTTAAAAATCATAAGAAATCACAAGTCATATTGACTTAGGCAGTTCTTCAGATAGCCCAGTCTCAGGTCTTTAAATTCTGTAACAGCAATTTAAAAATACATCTGGAAGCAAATAAGTAATCAGAACAGTTCAGAGAAATATCGGTATGAAATATCTCACAAAAAATGACAAGCAGAAAACAACATTCTGTTAAGCACATCTGCAGAGAAAAACATCTCATTCTCAGTTTACCTCACATTGGCTTCACGTCCCCACTCCACAACAGTTTACCACTAACATATCAAACAGACACCAGGACAGAATAGTATTCTCACTTATGTTTTTTGTATACCAGAAATAGGCTGGAAATCTCTTCTGCGATTTTTTTATTACCACCTTCTTGGGTTATTACAGCATATCAAAATCCTATGTCCCAGGTATCAGAACTCTGATACAGAAATGGACTGTATTCTGATTCTACAGAGACTTCTCCTGATTCTAGAGCTGAAAACAGGGATTATTCCCTATGAAAAAATCTATCATTAATTGAGCATTGGAGCTGAACCTTGCTCCTTGTGAGTACATTTGAGATTTCTGTTAAATAATCGTAAAGTCTTCTAGATGTTGCTGAACTAAAAGTCTCAGGAGGCACAGCCAATGGTGTGAGATTGATCAAGTTGCTGTCCTATAACATCTGAAGGGATATCCTTCATAGAGAACAACTTTCTCAATGAGAGAAACTTTCTCTAGAGAACATGAACAAACAGCCCGAAAAACCTACAACAACCATCAGATCCTAGCTGTGAAAGCCTTCAAGGATACAATAACTTCCTTGTTTCTTTTTATGCCAACTATTTCTCATTCCTTAAATCTACACTCCTAATAACACTTTTTAATTTGGAAAAAAGATTCAATTGCATACTTCTGCAAAAACAAAGTTATTTCCTCATGTGCCAGACTGCACTTTCATACAAGTTACTTTGACCAAAAGGAAGTAAGGAGAATGTGGAATGAATGTACTTAGTATATATATAGTGATTAGGTAGTTGCCCTCTTCCCATTCTGAAAATAAAGCTGTGGCTTTTCTCAAGAGCAAGGGTAAATCTGACCAGTACTGGCAACTGAAGCTGTGGTATCACTAGAGATGGGATACTCGTATTAGTATACGAATATCTCAGACCCAGGTAGCAGGCATCCCCAGTCCCGCCTCCCTAAACCTACCCGTCTGCTTACGTGTTGCTGCACAGCATGCGTGGCCGGCGTCCTACCATTGTGCCAATGCTGGATGAAGCCCGCCTGGTGCTGCTCTGCATTCCTGTTCTTCTGGCCACTCCAGCAAGGGGGTGGGATGACGAGTCTTCCCACTCAGCTTCTGAGTAGACACTGGTGCGATGAACAGGACGCTGGCTGTGCATGTTGCGCAGCGACCCATAAGTGGATGGGCTGGTTTGGGGAGGCAGGACTGGGGATCCTGGACATCTGGGTTCAGGGTATTCGTCTACAAATATGAATATCTATTTATCACAACTCACCTTTATCTAAAAAAACACCCAACAACTGGAAATCTGCTTAACATTTGGAATAATTCAAACCTTCTAAACTGTTTCTAAAGGTTTAGAAGGTTTCCCTGTAGAAAGCACTGTGGTCCAGTATGTAGTTAGGGAAGGTATATGGATATCTAATCTAATACCATGCCTTCATGTTATTTATTTTATTGTATTTCATTATGTCTCCTGTTGTATTTTATGGTATTTCTGTTTTTGCACTTTTATAATTTATTGATGTTATGTTTTATGATTCTATTATTGTTACTGTTTAGGTGTTGCAAACCACCCAGAGTGGCCTTGGCTGCCAGATGGGCAGTATATAAATCAAACAAACAAACACACAAATAAAATGTTTCAAATTTCATTCATAAGGACTCTATATTTCTTCACAACGTTAGAATTATATATATAAACATATGGAAACCATTTATTTAGTACAACATATGCAGTCTACTTGTTAGGAGAGTGAGAGAAAGGGGAACACTTCCATTTGGAAAATCTTCAGACTCAAGCTCTGAACAAGAGCTTTCTGGAGGTTATGAAATACATACACATTCAGCCACAAAATTCCTAGGCTTCTGAAAGCTATAGAAATGTTTTCATAGGAGTGTACTGTATTTTTCCGTGTATAAAATGACACTTTTAACTTAAAAGACAAAAATTGAGGGTTGTTTTATACACAGAGGGCGGCTGCTTTCCCTGCCTTTTGCGAAGCCACAGGGTAAAGCAGCCGTGAAAGGGTGGCACACTCGCACCCCTTTGATCCTGAAGCAGCCATGAAAGGGCTTCAGGACCAAAGGGGTGCGATCGTGCAAATGTTCTAATTTGAGGGTTAGAAAAGGGGGGGTCGTCTTATATATTGGGTCATCTTATAAACAAACATTCGGTATTTGGTTGGGGATTGACTATGAACCTCCTTTTTGCTGTGTAGCAGCGGTATTTAAAATTAAAAACAATTTCAATGCGCTAAACTTCAGTTTGATATTTAATAGGATCATTAATTTTATTTTATTTCTGATCTGAGATGAGATGGAGATACATGATATACAAACAAAGTAAGAAGCAAGCTTGTAATTTCTTTACCTGTGGAAGACTGCTTCAATAGGCAGGCTTTCTTGACACAATGGTTTCACCAACCTCTGCCTAAGACTCCTTTTATCTTTCAGCACTGCTTCTAGGTGCCTATTCATTGCCTGGAGAGACTGGCATTTCTGTGCTATAGAAGATTTTATTTAAAATGAAATATGTCAAAGTTCAACCCAGACTAAAGTGAAATCAAATCCAACACATTCAGATGATTTGAAAACATTTTACAAATTATTTGAATTATTTGTAATATATTGTGCAAATTCGTAGTTTCAATAAAAATATATGGATCAATGTGTGTCTTCTTGTTTTCCTTCTACTGAAGGTTAGATATTATCACTATGGGGACTTTGTATGTAGCATCTCTAAACAAAGAAGTTGCGCTGCATCCAACCAGTCCACAAGACTCAGTTGTAAAGTACTGCAAAGCACATGAGAAGACACCTAGGGAAGAAGACAACAAAGCAGTAGGAGAAAGAAAAAGCTACTAATTGAGTCTACATACTGTTCAAAGGAATAATGAGCTTTAAAAAAACAAAACAAGTACCAGCAATTAACACATACTTGTAAACACAAAACATTAATAGAAGTTTGTGCCTCTTTACACCATTCATAATTTATTGTTATTATTTATCTAGGCAGCTTTTCGGGGCAGGTTTAGGCAACATCTGGGGGACCTCCTAGAATATGCTGAAATTTATGCAGTATGCCTGCTACCAAATCTGGCTCTGCAGCAATAAGCCTCTGAGTGTACGGATGGGTTCACTGCTTAAATAATCTGCACTTGCTTTTTAAATGAAAGCAACATGTTCTAAGATTGTTGAATGATAAACATATATTAGCCTTGGTGGAGTACAGATACAAGGCTGTTATACACACACAGCCGCAGTGGCTTTATTAGCTCTTCCAGAGCTTATTACAATATTTCTTATGCCTTTTCCAAAGACTGTTGTTAGTTGCGGTTTGGTCAATTGGCTCATCAAATATACAGGCAACTATTAAGTAGATGTATTAGTTTTGTATAGAAGAATATCTAGCTGACAGAATTCAGTTTAAGGAAAACCCTCACATTAATTACAGCATGGAGGTTCCTGACCTAGAAAGCTACATGGTGGCCTTAACAAAAATACTTACTCAGGTAGAATGGATGAGTAATGTCTGCTGTATCTTTTTCCATCTGCAGGATTTCAGTCTCCAGATTAATCTATAAATGGTTGAAATAGTTAGTATTTGTGTAGTATGTATGAAGTATTTATGGCCATCTTCATCATTGCTAAAATAGAAAGTAAACCTGATCATCTTCAAGTATCTTTAGGGGGGAAAGCAACAACCACTACATACTTTACCTTTGTAATAAGACTAGGAGAGCTTCTCTCTTCAAAATAGAATTCTACTTCACCTTTTATAATAATTTAGCCTCTGTCACTTTGTCTTATTTGCCTATGCAAAAAATCTCCAGCACAAGATAATATAGAAAAGGTATTTATAGATATTCTGATTAAGCCAGAGGATTATCAAATTCTCTACAAATGGATTCTAGAGTATCTTCTGTGTTTATATAAGCAAATATTTCATGGTCATATTCTGTATTTAGTAGATGCACAAGATAGATTCCCAGTTAATGAAATTACCAAGTCATGTGACAATGGCTACAACAACAACAACAAAAATCATCAAAGCTATGATGCCTGTGGTTGAAAGGATCATTTTGCATCAGAGACTTGCAATAATCTAGCAAGTCTCTGATGCAAAATTTTCCACAACTGTAGGTATTTAGGAAGCCAAAGAGAAGACAATGATGGCCAGCCTAGGGAATTATAGAAGGCTTATTTCAAAAAAAATTGTAAACTTGATAATAAGCACTTTATTTTTTTCCTCCTTTCCTTTTTTTTTCCTGAGGTTTTAATTTTTGACATCTAGTGAGGTTGTAGACAGCTTGTCTTCTCTGCTGAAGATGCCAGAGATACGTACACACTGACTGGGGCTTAGGGTTCTTGTCACCCCTTATCTTTTCCACCAACTTGTCAAATCTCCTAAACAGCAGCACATCAAAGGAATTCAGGCAATCTTTAGGAATAAATGAGGGAAGTAGCAGCAAAGACCATATTTATCAGTTTGGGTAGTGATTAGGGAATAAAAGAGAACTAAGAATTTGGATACTGAAAGCTCTATGGAGATAACCTGCATGTGCATGCTTTTTCTTGCTTTAAAGCATCATAGGCTATACCTCAAACAAGTGTACATTTGTTGTTCTATTGGAAGAGAAGGCGAAGGGACTGAAGAAGCAAGCTTCCACACTTTGCATTGTTGAACAGGACACAGAAGACACTACAGCAAGGACAAAAGAAGGAAGAGACTGTCAAAGAAAATAACTGAAGAAGAGCCTCAAGACAAACTTTAAGAAGGAAGTAGATGAATTGGAACAGGTATACAGCAAAGCAAGCCAGTGTTAAAGAAAACAAATCCTATGAAGACACATCGAGCAATTGGGTTATTTAGCTTGAAGAAGACTGAGCAGAGGGAAGATGTACCTCTTCAGGTACAGTTGTGCCCCGCTGGATGATTACCCGCTCTATGACGAATATGCATTACGTTCATGTTTTTGCAATTGCAAAACAATGGTTTAAATGGGGGAACTTCGCTTAGCGATGATCAGTTCCCTGCTTCGTAAACCGATTTTCGCTTTATGATGATCAGCAAGCAGCTGATCGTTGGGTTTCAAAATGGCTGCTGGCTGAAGAAAATAGCTCCCCACTGTTTTCTAGGATGGATTCCTTGCTTTACAGGCACCGAAAATGGCCGCCATATGGAGAATCTTCGCTGGACGAGCAGGTATTCAGCCCATTGGAACGCACTGAACGGTTTTCAATGAGTTTCAATTAACATTGTCAAGTGAGGCACCACTGTATTTGAAGACTGCTGTCACACAAAAGAGAATACATTTTTCCTCTCATAATCTAGAGGGCAGGTATTAGGTCTTGTGGATTTGCTTTGAGTTAATGTATGTGGTTAAGGGACGTGGTGGCGCTGCCGGATAAACCGCAAAAGCCTCTGCTGCAAGGTCAGAAGAGCAGGAGTTGTAAGATCAAATCCACGCAATGGAGTGAGCTCCTGTTGCTTGTCCCAGCTCATGCCAACCTAGCAGTTTGAAAGCATGTAAAAATGTGAGTAGATAAATAGGTACCACCATGGTGGGAAGGTAACGGCGTTCCATGTTTAGTCGTGCTGGCCACGTGACCTCACAAACTGTCTTCAGACAAATGCTGGCTCTATGGCTTGGAAACGGTGATGAGCACCATGCCTTAGAGTCGGACACGACTGGACTAAACATCAAGGGGAACCTTTACCTTTACCTAATGTATGTGGGGGAGGGTACAATGCAAAAACAAAGTGTGCTGTTTATATACTGCCTCATAGTGCTTAAAGCAATTTCTGGGCAGTTTACAAATTAATTATGCAGGCTAAACATTGCTCCCCTCCAAAGAGCCAGGTACTCAGTTTACCAACCTCAGAATGATGGAAAGCTGAGTCAACCTTGTGCCAGTTACCTAAGCCCAGCAGGATCCAACTCAAGTTGTGAGCAGAGTCTTGGTTACAGTACTGCAGTTTAACCACTGTGTCACAAAACTAGAATTCAACTGAACATTAAGAAGAAAGTATTTATGTAGAGAATGGTTTAATAGTTTACCCCTCTAATTATAGAGATGGGTAGCAGGTCATTAATTGCTAGACATTTGCAATAACAGACTGGACAACTATCTCTTGGGAGTGCTCTGACATTCCTGTATCAAACAAGTTGGTTGAAAGATGACATTGAATGTCTGCTATTTTAGTGTGTTGGTACTGTATTGTTTCACCACTATGATCTTTAGTGCAAACTAAAGAAACTGTGCAATTGCCTTTATCAGTAGAACTCCTATTCTTGTGCTGAAAGTTTATTTTACCTCATTGATTTCAGCTTGGAGGTCAGCAATTTGTTCCACCTCTGAGAAATGAACAAAACAAGGAGGCGGCTTTCCACATATATTCAGTGTATCCTAGAAGAGAAATATAAAATGTCACAGCAGATGGGAAACTCACAAGACAGACAGACATCCTTGACATTATGGTTTGAATTCCAACACTTTAGAAATATATATATAAGCCTTTTTGAATGTTGACCTCTAAAAAAAGGTTTAAATTTCACAGAACTAGCATAAGCCTTTTTGAATGTTGACATCTCAAAAAAAGGTTTAAATTTCACAGAACTAGCATTTCTTGCACTGCCGTTATTGTCATTATGCCCTGCCTACACAAACATGAACTTAATGCTACTAGTGATAGCACTGCCATCTGAAATTAATGCTACTGGTTTAACATCATTCATTGGATTAATAGAATTACACCACTACTTGTCAGGAAATTCTGTCCTGCTTTTGGTTAAAAAACACTTTATAACTTGGCATGATTTTGGTACATTCCAGAAAAGAACGCCTACAAATAATAAGGGAGAACGATTCATTACACATGCATTTAGAATGTAAAACTTTTGGTTTCCAAATTAACAAACATTTGAGCTGCCATTCCCAGACCTATCGCTAGCATGAGGGGAAGGACACTCTGCCAGCAGTCACAAGAATCTGCATCAAAATAACTAGATGCTTTCTAAATATTCACCATGGGGCATTGTCTTCTGATATCTAATCAGAGATGTGTGTGCATGAAGTACAACAAAAATATTTAAGGAAAAGTCACTGCATGTGTTTTCCTTTCTTTTTAATTACAAAAGGGGAAGAAGAGGAAGAGGAAATAAAGAAAAGAAGAAGAAAATGATTTACTGGTGATGATTCAGTCCATTGCAGAAGAATGGACAAACATCACCATGGGTTGTAGGAGAATGTCTGGAGCACAGGTAGCCTACAAAGTTGACAAGAAGATTAGATAGGGACATTGGAAGACAATGCATACTTTTCAAAACATAGCCCTTATGACACTGGAACCCTGTTCCAAACTCAAGGGTTACATATATACATACCTATCTATCATCTCCTTAGAAATGAAAGGTGTGTATATGTTTATGCACAGAATTATAGCAAATGGAGAGAAAATAAACCATTGGATATGATAGCTCAAAGAAAACTAGATCACTTCTTTGGTTATTTATACAAAACATGCAATCTTAATACATTTCTCCCTAATCTATGAAGCCTTTTATGCACAGAGCTCAGTTCTGAGTTTAAATAGATATAAAAAGTAAGGGCTATTAAGTTGTATTCAAAGACATCCTAGAAGGAAATTGAAATAAAATAGTTATTATTCCATTCTGAAACATTATTTCAAAATTAAAGGAGGAGAGTTTTAGTAAAAAATAATCCAATACTAACCAAATCTGGATAAAAGAGGAAATGTTAAATTTCCAAAACATCTCAAAAGCAACAAAGTGTTTATTTGCACTTTGAATGCATGACAACATACAAAATCTTATGCCAAATAAAACCTACGAGTGTATTTTAGAAGGCTTTCACAGCCGGGATCTGATGGTTGTTGTGGGTTTTTCAGGCTCTTTGGCCGTGTTCTGAAGGTTGTTCTTCCTGATGTTTCGCCAGTCTCTGTGGCCGGCATCTTCAGAGGACTGGAGTAGGAACTCTGTCCATGCTCTGTTGCTGTTTGTTGGATAGTTGAGTATTTATAGCTGTGGGAACAGCTATTGTCCTTTTCAGGAGATAGGGTGATGATGGTAATCAGTGTGTTTTTGTTGTGGATGGATTGTTGTGATAAGAGGGGAGAGATTATCCTTTTTGTGCAATGATCCCTGGTCCTTGTGGCTGGGTAGTTCGTTGACCTTTTGTAGGCTGTATTTTTTAGTGCTGGAAGTCAGGCCTTGTTAAGACTTTCCTCTTTTTTGTTGGAGCTCTGTTGCTATTTATAGATTCTAATGGCTTCCCTGAGCAGTCTAACCTAACTCTACCTGGCCACAAGATAACATTTTCAGATATACAGACAAAACCATTTTTAAGGTCTTCCTCATTACTGTCTCAATCCTAAAGTCCCTCCTTCTCCTAAGTAAATCGAAGCGCGCAACTCAGCCAGCTCGCGCGACGACGACGACGGCCACCAAGAGGGGGGTGAGGGCCACTTAAGGGCAGGCATTCCTGCTAAACCGTGACTTCCAGGGCTCTGGAGAAGCTCCCAGGGCCTTCTCCATTCTGGCGCCCTTAACACATGCCACAGCCCGACTCCCCCATTCAGGTTGCTCGGAAATAAGCAGCTGTCAGCCATCCCTCCGCCTACCACCTATTTAGCAAGTTAGGGAAGGTTAGAGCGCGACCGACCCTCCGCCTCACCTGGGACAGCACTCCCGCGGACAGGCACCGCTCCAGCATCAGCCGGGCCGCCGAGGGCTGGACGGGATCCCAAGGGTTGCGAGCAGCCATGGCAGCGGCTCTCCCTCCGGGCGCCCCCCTAACGGCCGCGCGCGCGCCTCGGCGGCTGAGGAAACTCCCCTTCTCCCTTTCGTCGAAAGGCGCGCCGCCGCCATCTTGAGTGTGACCAAGCGGCGACTCGGCTTTACAGTAAAAAGGCTAGAAAGGGGATTGCTTTGATATTCGTTGCGAAGGAAAATAACCCGTCAACACCCGCATACGATCGCCACACAGCCTTCGCTTGCTCAGCGCGGCCGACTCCTCCTTGCGTCTCTAGGGCATGACTAAGGTTTCCGCACAGGATGCGAGCAGCCACGGCGCGTGTGACCAAGCGGCGACTCGGCTTTACAGTAAAAAGGCTAGAAAGGGGATTGCTTTGATATTCGTTGCGAAGGAAAATAACCCGTCAACACCCGCATACGATCGCCACACAGCCTTCGCTTGCTCAGCGCGGCCGACTCCTCCTTGCGTCTCTAGGGCATGACTAAGGTTTCCGCACAGGATGCGAGCAGCCACGGCGCCCCTTCTCTGGGTGGAGAGTTCGCCATTATGCCAACTAGAGACGGATCCTGATTTCATCCAGGCATCATGACCCGCTGCGGAGGGATTAAACTCGTGTGGCTTCTTTGTGGTGCGTGTGCTTGTTGCTAGGATGCGAGGCGGTGGCGACTGTGTATTTACAGGCAAGTGGAAGTTTGGGGGGGGGGGATAAGCCTTCTCTTGGGTCAGTCTTAGGATGCCCAACCCTTTTTTCCTTCCTCCTTCTGAGGTCTAGCCCGGGAGGAAAGAGGTCCTGCGGGAGGTCGTTCTCACTCCGTGCATTTTCCCCCCGAGGTAGCCGCGTCAGAGACTTAAACGTGTCCCTGGGCACTTCCAGTATACTTGGAAGTAAGTCCCATTGAATGTCATCTTTCCTTCTCCGAGCCAGCCTGGCTTCTGCAGCACGGCCGTCTATTCACCGAATTAGGGCGGATAAGCAACGTGAATAGGGCGGAGGAGCTGCTTTCTCCCTTGAGACGAATCGAAAATGCCCACCTTTAAATACACTCGTGCTGCTCTTCCACCCCCCACCCCCAGTGTGTTTGGCGAGAAGAAGGAGGCCACGTCTTGGGACCCGTCCCATCTTCGAATAGCCTGGCGTAGAAGTTCAGGGAAGGTTATTCAGTTCCCTCCCCTGAGGAGGTGAAAGTTGAGAGACCACTGAATTTCGCCCTGGGTATTTTTTCCCTCAGCCAAGAGCGTCTTTACCTCCTCCCTCTTAGCTCCAAGTGAGGCTGGTGCTTCAAGAGCGGAGGATGCAGGACGGATCATGGTATTGAAGCAAGGATAGTTATAGGGAGAAAAACAGCAGTGTTAGTGTCAAAATCTGTCGAGACTATGGAGCCCTTAGATGAGTAGACTTCGATTTATTGGAACAGTTTTCGTACAGTATTTCGAAATGTTCGTAAATCGAAGCAAAATTCCCCATAGGAATGCGTTGAAAGCCATTTAATCCGTTCTGGCTGTTTTTCGTTCTTATGTAGAGGCCCCATTCCCAAGTAGAGGCATTAGTTCCCATAGGAACTAATGCAAAGCCGGTTAACCCGTACTCTACCACTAGGGAGAGAATTTTTTTCTTTTTTCTTTTTTGACCTAAGATGAACTTAGGTTACAAAAAAAGGGCAGGAAAGGAGGGAGGGGGGAGGGAACACCTTCTAAACACAAGACCTTTTAACCCAAGCACCTTTTAAACAAAACCAAGCACCTTTTAGCTTAAAAAAAGGGCAGGAGAACACCTTTTAAACAGAACATGTTTTTTCCGTTTGTAAGTCGAAGCTCCGTTGGCAAATCAAAGCAAAATTTTGCGAACAAAGCAGTTCGTAAGTCAAAATGTTCATAGGTAGGCCCGTTCGTAAGTCAAGGTTCCACTGTAATTAAAACATTCCTTAGGTAGATGGGATTTAAAAAAGGAAAAATATAAATACCTCCTGCTACTATCTCTCATTATCCTTGTTTTGGATCCTTATTTCCTTTTCATCCAAAACATCTCTTTATTCATTTCTTAATCTGCGCCTTTTAAAATGGCGAGGACCAAAGCCATATTGATGGGAATATTGTTTCTATAGGAGCCAGTTATTTTAGTGCAGTTTGTGAGGATGATTAATGAACATGTGTTGTGAAGTGACTGTCATTTTTTAAAATTTCTAATAGAACAGATGATGTTGTGTGACACAAACTCAAAATGAATATTTGTATCTTTTGCCTGTCAGATGTACAACTGAATCTCCCAGATATAATTCTAGCAGATTAATGTTGCTGTAGGAGCATCATTCTTCAAAAAGTGTTTGTGATGCTTATGTGTAAGTATTTGATGGCCAAAAGGTTTTCGTGTACATTAACTCAAATGTCCTTTAAGTTAGGTGTAGTTTGCAGGAAATGTGGAAAAACAGAATTCCAAGATTGATTACTCAAATCAGCAAAGCAAGCATCATATTGAAATTAAAAAGTATCAGTTTTAGTTGCTAAACTATAGCATCAGAAGCCAACATAAAGAAAGTATGTTAGTATAACATGAAGTGAATATTGTGACTATAACACTGAAGATGGACTTGTAGTTAAATTTGAGGCATTTTTTCGCTAAACTGCACTGAATTCAGTGGGGGACTTATTAAACCCTGATAAGTGTGAATAGTATGGCAACGTACAACTCAGTCATGTCAATATTCACATGGAAGCAAATACTCCTGAATGTGATTTGTTCCTGAATTTGGAATTTTCTGAGCCTATGATGTATGGTGGGCTATCAATAAGCTACAATGCCTTCTAACATTATAAAGCCCTTTAATGGGCTGACATGTCCATCTTGTTATATTTATATAACCTATCTATCTACTTATCAGAGCTTTTCCTGAAAGCCTGAATTAACTAATCCCTAGCAACAAACAAGCATGCCTACTTGGAAATAAATTAGTTTCAGATTAAAATTGCTTCCAACTAATAAAGTTTTAATACTTAGGTGTTTTTTTAAAAATGCTTTGTTTTTCTCTTGTATCTGTCTGCAGTTCTATATAGATGGCTTGCCTCTGATTAAATGTTGAGTGCAGTCTTTGCACAACAATCCAGACTATTTATATTTAATTCATTGGCACTGTGCCCTGAGTATTAGACCCCAAAATAGTTTGTGCTTTATTTACAGTCAAGAAGATGGATGAGGTAATAGGGGTAATCCATATGGATTATTCCTCATTGAACTGCATTCTGCCTTTTATCTCTTAATAGAAAATAAACTCATTTTGTCAGTTGTGGCGTGAATGAGAGAGACTCTGCTGGACATTTGCCACAACCACCTGTCATTTCTGCCTCAAGAACAGGAAGATGGGTAACAGTGCCTTAAAAGCACATTTGGAGACAGCCCAGAAAACTGGAGTATTTCAATTAACTGGGAAAGGACTTTCTGAGGTAAACATCTATTTCATGATTATATATTTTAATCTTTATATTGCACAATGCAAGAAAAGAAAAAACTACATCTTTAAGCTTCTGTATCTTGCAACCCGGGCTTATAACTGATTTCTGGGACAGGCATAGAAATGTCAATTGAAGGTTCCAGTAAATAGGTTGCATTTTGTCCTATGCTTAAAAATTATCTACAGCATGTTATTGATATTGCTCAGAATGAAGTATGCGTAACACTTAGTGAAGAAACTGGGTGTGAGTGGTGCCACCAGCCTTGCCTAGAATGGGGGCAGGTGAGGAGTCTGTCATCTGTCATCATCTTCATAAACTCCAGACTCCTGGATTTTTACTTTATTAGGGTTGGGGAGTAGGGTGCAAGAAATGAGAGGATGACAGTTGCATCCTGTCTGAACAGCCGTCTTGGTGGGGGCTGAGTTGTCTCTATTAACTCCCCTGATAGTTCAATCTCTGCCCAACACAGAGTTTCCATAACTCAAAGTCTAATGGCGTGTCAGAGCTTCAACATAGTCCAAAGCCACCCCATATTTTTAAAGGAAGTCTTGTACTGCCTGCTGCTTAATGGTACTTGTACCTTTCCAGCCTTTCCTGTAGCCACTTCTGGCACTCCTGATGTTTCTTGTGTCTCCACTGCCTTTGTTCAGTAGGGGTTGTGACCGAGTACCCCACTGGATGCCGAGGTCTCCATGAGTCAGATGGATGGGAAGTGATGCTACTGGGTTAAACAAAGACACTCTTCCACCGCATCCTGGCCCTTAGCAATGGAAACCTTCACAAGGATCCTTGCCCAGGGGTTTTCTACATACATGTAGTCTGCATCTCTAGCCAAACAAAGATGAAGTCTAGCTCCTGCACAACCACATCTCTTCCTCCAATCTGGTTGTCGATCTGGAATCAGTTCTGGGTTCTTCTTTCTCCTCCTCCTTTATCCCTGCCAACTGCATGTCAGCTCTGTCTTGGCTCTATTTCCTGCTTCTGCCTCTTTTCTGCCTGGGACTTCTTGTCCCACTTCTATGACTGCCTGAGGCCTGGGTGTTGCAACTCCAGTGGATCGTTCAAGGGGCATTTGGAGCAAGGGCAGACAGCCTCTTAAGACCCCTGGTAGCTCCCCACCCATGAGAGAGATGCATTTAGCTTTTTAAGTGAAAACCAGTAACTACTGCGTGTAAGCATCCTTCAATCTCAAGAGACTATGGTAACGTGCTCTGTATGGAGGACTTGGAACAGTGTCTAGTGTGGCTGAGAAGACCAATTCGAGAGTGACCATCTCTTCCACACTAAAGACAAATACAGTCTGCCCCTGGTCCAGCTCCCTGATTTTGCTGCTTTTGGGACTGCCTCTTCGCCTTGGCCTGCTGGACAAGGGTCTCTTCAAATTGGGAGAGGCTATCATGCACTGCCTGCCTCCAGGCTGAACGCTCAGACTACATCTGTGCAATATACATCACATTGCATATATCAACTTTGTATTTTGCTTATGCATAACATAAAATACTTCATTCTATTTGTTGTTATTCTGGTTTATCCATTGTATAGTGATGTTTCCAAATTCAACTGTCTTCCGAGAATAATTGCTCTTCCTCTAATCTCTGCCCCTCATTTACAGTGTAATTTTTTGTCATAATAAGTGAGAAGTGTCCAAAAGAAAACCTATAAATTTTACTAAATTACCTGTGCTCTTAAACTTACTTTGTATTCATTGTCTTTTTGCAATAATGTTCATGTGCTATTTCCATTCCTTTTTTAGTTTCCTGAAGATCTGCAGAAGCTTGCAAGTAATCTTAGAACAATAGATTTATCGAACAATAAGATTGAGACTCTACCACCACTAATGGGAAAATTCTCTGTGTTGAAAAGCCTCACTTTAAATCACAACAAACTGAGTATGACTTTTTAAATAATCTAACATCTTTCTAGATATAGTTAATGTAATTACTACAACTTTAATTATCATTAGTTCCTTTATTCATTTCATTTCAAAATATGGTGGGAGGTAGGAATAACAGGACTTATGCATGAGAAACCTGTGACACATTAGAACTGGAAAGAGAAAATGCGGCAGAGCTAACAAAACTCTGGGAAGATATACGGTATTACCATAATCAGAGTTATATGTTTATGAGAGAGGCCAGATTATTAAAGTAGCTGCCTATTTTTGGTTCTTATGAAATAGACTGGCACTCAGATAAATTATATAAATTACTCCCGCACTTTTTCTTTGTTTCCCAAACTGTGAAAGCTCTAAGGGGAAGGTAGAACCTGCACATTGATTCTGGTGATTGTCATTTATTCATTAACTGCCTATATAAATTGTAAAAAAAGAAAGTTTACCTGTATCTAAAGTGCTGATAGAATGGGGTGCTGTATGCCACAAAAACAGTCCTGACATCTTATTAATTGTTCTTTCCTCTCATCAGTTTGATTTATTCCTCTTTATAATAACAGCTACATTACCCGAAGAGTTGTGCAAACTGAAAAAACTAGAGGCTTTGCATCTGAATGGCAACCTACTGACACACCTACCTGCTGCCTTTGGACAGCTTGCAGCCCTAAAGACTCTGAGCCTTTCTGGAAACAAGCTCCGAACTATACCTGCTCAGCTCTGCAGTCTTCGTCACCTAGATGTGGTGGATCTTTCGAGAAATCAGATCCAGAGTGTGCCAGACACGGTGGGCGAGTTGCAGGCCATTGAGTTGAACTTGAACCAGAACCAGGTGTGAAAACAGGTTGTATAAGTGTGCACAATATAAGCTCCTATTGCTTTGTTTGCCCTGGTGGAAAGCACTCCTGCTAAAATATTTTCTCTTTACAATATAATTTTTCATTTATTGAGAGGATTATTTGACTTCTGTGATAATAATACTTTGCACATCACATATTTTCTTGGCTAAAATGTTCCATCTATTCTATTATAATGTTAAATTCTTTATGGTAGTTTATGTATTTATGTGTTTAGTTATTAAATGTATACCCCGCCCATCTAGACCGAAGTCTACTCTGGGCAGCTAAGAATAAAAAATGGAATAAAAACAATATAGTAAAATAAAAAACAACAATAATAATATCGTTCAAGATGGCAAACTGAAACTACAATAGTTGTAGTAACAAGATAATGGTCAAAATCCTGTTGCTTCGCATATTTAGTTTCACAAGAGTTAGGCCCGTTGAATCAGTGGGGATTTCGTGAGTGAACTTTGTAAGTTCCACTGACAGACTGGGACTTAAATTAGCATAGTAAGTTGTAGTTATCGTAGACCCATTTGAATCAATAGAACTTATGGAGGAGTTTATTCACCAAATCCCCATTGATTCAGTGGGCCTACTTTAACGTTTTTTATTCTGCTAAGCACAGGACTTAAGCCAATGAATTAAGCGCAGAGTTTTAAGTTTGTGTTTGTGATTTTGGACAGAACGTAGATATATTAGCCTCGTGGCGCAGTGGTTAAAACGCTGTACTGCAGCTAAAACTGTGCTCACGACCTGGGGTTCAAATCCCAGGTAGCCGGCTCAAGGTTGACTCAGTCTTCCATCCTTCCGAGGTATTAATTAATTAATTAATTCTGTCAAGTATACAGTATAGAATAAACCTGTCTTACCAGATTTTAAGAGGTCTTAAGAACAGGGATCACTAAGACCATTCTGTGGAAATTCAAAGAACAAAAATTTTGCTTCATGCCAACTTGAATGTTGATGTTCTGAAATCCCATTGTGGTGCTAGTGGCAGTAGTTGGTCTTCTGTAGCAACTCCACTAAAATTGTTCAGTTTTCTGTGTCATATTTGAAGTATTTGGTGTGTTTATCAGAGATCTGGCATTGTTGCACACTTGTGTTTTAATTTGGACCTGTTTGCATGTGTACAATTACCAATCATGAAGAGATAAACGTCTGTCTACAAATCAAGATGCAATATAAATGCAATATAATTCTGGATAGAAGTTTCTCTGGCCAATATTAGACTTTGTTTCTAATTTGGGTGTCTGCATGAAGAAGGCATGATGAGATGTACTTGGCACTGACAAGAGTAATCTCTCCCTCCCCACACACCTTTTTTGTTGTATGATAGATTTCCCAGATCTCCCCACAGATTGCTCACTGTCCACGCCTCAAAGTCCTGCGTATGGAAGAGAATTGTTTGGAGCTAAGTGTTCTTCCTCAGAGTATTCTCAGTGATTCTCAGATATCTCTTCTTGCTGTAGAGGGTAATCTTTTCGAGATCAAGAAACTCCGAGAACTGGATGGATACGACAAGGTTTGTAGGATAAACTGTTTGTTCTCTGTCAGTTAAACTAGTAGGCTTTTGGGAAATATAGTTTCAGCTGAAAGGTGAATCCAGGAGAGAAGTTCAGGTATTTTTACAGCCACCGTAAAATTTAATTGTTGATCCTTTTGTGACTTGTTCTGGACTCCTTCGCTTACTTTCCTACTTGCTAGTCTTCTATAACACATTGGTTTGAATGGTTTTGAGATGACTGTCCCAACTCTCTCTGACCCTTAGCGCATCCTTCTCCTTTATTTGCCTAGGTGTTTGATGAGAGATTGTTTTATTGTATTTTTATAACCCTTTATCAAACTACTTATAACCGCATCAAAGTGTTGTTTTGAATCACACTAAACAATCAAGAAAAGAGGGTAAAGCATTATTCACAATAGGCTGTCAAAACAGTTCAACTTTGAACTGTTTTAGTCAGACATAATATAATGTAAAGAGTAATTTCTGATTGTGCAAGGGAGGGTGAGGGGCTGATATTCCTCTCTCTACATGATTTGTGTGCTGGTTTTTGAGTGGTGATGGGGATATATATAGAGGATGCAGTTAGCAGGAAGCCTTCTTCTAGAATCAAAACTCCCTCTGTAGATCCAAGTCACTGTGATTCCAAGGTTGCTTTTTTAAAATTGAAATCAAATTCCTTTCTTTCCTTTATACTTCTCTGCTAAAGTGTAACTGTCTTCTTCTGAAAACCTATGAATCATCCATCTGATAGCAGTGGAAAGGTAATACAATAGGTGAAGTCTTGTTGCATAGCTCTGTGTGCGCAACACAAAGCTGCAGAAGCAGTAGAAAAAATTGCAGCAAGGCAGAGGTAATACCCACAGAGCACTGTTGCAGGCATTCTGCATAACAGTTGCAATGTGAACTGCACAATTGATAGTACAGTGCTGTCTGTCTGGACGTAACAATGCAGCACATTCTGCAGGCCTAACTTTGTTACACCTCTAAACAGGATTTCAGCTTTTGAGTCTGATTACAGTGTTCAGCCTGAGAAATGTTGTCTTTATAAGTAATGAGTGGAAGTAGATTAGATAGACTCTAAACAAGAGTGAAGTTCTCATTTTATCTTTTGAGTAAATGTCAGAAGAGACTCTGGAAGAGAATCTGTTTTTGTGACTCCTTGTGCAGAAGAGCATCTCATATATAAACTGTTTGTCTGGCAAAGAACGAGTGCCATGATTCATAGCAATTCAGCACAGAAAGCTGTGCCGGATAGGAAAGGTTTTTTAGGGAACTTCTTAGCACATACAGAGCCCTATCGAAAAATGCAGAATTTCATTTTCCTTAGACCACCACCACAGCTAATATTGCTACTTCTTCCTTTTTTTAGTACATGGAAAGATTTACCGCTACAAAGAAAAAATTTGCCTGATGGATTACTAATATATTTTATCACATGAAGGAGAATACAACAAGAGGAGTGATACATGGACCCTATGTGCTGCTAAATTGTTGGGAGAAGGAAATGTGAAACTTTGAGTAAGAGCAAGACAACTGTGATCCCAGTGACTTTGAAGTGGTCTGGTATGTTGTCATTAAGGCTCCAAAGTAAATCTAGGCGTTGGTGCGGCTATTCTGGATATACCAGTCAGCACCTTTTCAGATGGCAGAGCATTTCTGCTTATTTGATTTTCCAGCTTCAGGGATCATTATGATTTTGAAGAAAAGTCTTGTAAAATTTAATTGAGCTGCAGAATATTTTATTACACCTATTGTCAGTCCCATTTTAAGGAGACTGAATGTATAGAGATGTTGGTTCATCTGTCTGGGGAACACCAGGAATACTCATGTTTTTCAACAGGATTAACTCGACGATGCAAAGCCATCTCTTTGCTTTAGTTGTTCCATAGTGTATGAGATGTTGACAAATTTTTATTTAATCATGTATATTTTGAAGCACAAATAGCTAACATTTAAAAATAGTTATGCTAGCTACATCCTGTGAACACCTTTGTCTTCCATTTGATGAAGTGTCCTGTAGTTCACCTGAGCATGCTAAATTAATTACATATGACAGGATTTTAATATCCATAATGTCCTTGGGGTTGCGAGAAGCTGTCATCTTTGCACTGAATATTGTTGGCAGTAACAAGCTCAGCTGCTTAATCAGGTTGATCACCTTATTGCTGCCTTATGCAAAGCATCCAGGAGAACCTAAAATATGCAACTTCACTAAATAATTTGTATATTTTTTACTAAAGAAATCCTCCATCCACAACAGTCTTACACTTTTGGCACTCTGCAACAAACTTAAATACATGTATAATTTATTCATATCATTCAATATTAATGGTAAAAATAAACAGATGCACAGCTCAAATTGTTCCTTCAAACACTGCTGTCATATCTAAGATATTCAAGAAAATAAAATTGCTTTGGAGAAAAGGAAAACTGCATTGTTGTAGGTTCTATGTAAAATGTGGTTGTAAACAAGAGCAACGCAATACTTGTTTCTGAAACGTAGCACCTCTCTCCTGAAAAAGCAAGTTGCTGCTGCTGCTGCTGTTTTCAATGCCAGAATGTAAGGATTAAGGAAAGGAAATAGCCTTGCATATTACAGTAGAACCATGTTATCTGTGGGGGGAATGGTTCTAAGACCCTTCTCCCACAACTGCAAAAAATTGTGGGTAGTAGAGAAGCTGTATGTTTGTGGTTCCCTCTAGTGGCCAGTTATAATAATTACATCATAGAAACCCTTATTTCTGTTTTTCATTTAATATTTTTAGTATATTCAGACCATGGATCAGTGAAGCCATGGATATTGATCCCACATCACTTCTTAAATTTAATCCCACATTACTTCTTAAATTTAAAGGTGGAGGGAGTCATTCTTAGAATTGTTTCTAGTTGCTGTTGCAATTTTTCTTAGAGGTCATGCTAGAAACTTGCAAATTATCAGAGCCATATTCAGCCATTATAGCCTGGAACTTTGTAGGACTTTAAATGCAGTGGGGATGGGAATGAGTGCAAACTCATGTGCCCAGAATACTATTACCAGCACCTTTGCCACCCACTCGGACCTTGGCACATTCAGGACAAAGGTTTGAGGAGGCCACTGTAACCAAGTTCATCTGATGTGCTTACAGAGCTTGTGTGATTAGGAAACCACCTTATTACGTCTCCTGATCCTACAAGTACTGTAAATATGTTCAGGGAACACTTCATAATGTGATACTCAATGTGCAAAGGCCTGAGTGACTTTGGGATGTGTGTGCTTTAAGAGTGGGTCTTTTAGACATCCTTATGTCTCCACCACAGTTAAAGACCTACATGATTTCAAACTACACTGCTGGAATGCAACTTTCTTTAGAAAGTTCATTGATACACTAGCTCTATAACCATATTTCTTCTTAACTGTTACAAAGGAGAGTTGTTGTTTATTGAATTACACAAATTTCAACCATTTAGTTCATTCTAAACTAGGTGTAATACTAAAAGCTAGATTTTTTAAAAGACCTTGAAATAACGAAGCATTGAATCTTTTGTTTCAAGGTCTGAGAAGGAGAGGTGATTGATTTGTTCTGTTATGACTGGAAACACAAGGTAGAAAGTTAATAGAATCATAGAATCGTCATAGGGTTGGAAGGGACCATGGAGGGCTTCTAGTCCAGCCCCCTGCCTAAGGCAGGAGACCTCATACCATCCCGGACAGATGGCTGTCCAATATTTTCTTGAAAACCTCCAGGGATGGGACACCCACAGCAGGAGGCAAGCTGTTCCAATGATACAGGGGTTGGGTGTGGAACCAAGGAACTTTACTCAGCTAGTTACATTTTCTCCTTCCTATGGGGTCTTCCTTACAGGTGGGTTTTTAAAAATGTGATTAATCTTCCATTAATTGCTGAGGGGCTAAGATTGCTTTATAAGGTAAAGGTTCCTCTTTACATGGCACTTGACAGTTTCTCAGGACATGTTATCTAATCCCCAGATGTATAAGAAGATACAAAGTTTTTCTCAAAGCAGCTGTTTAACACTTCTCTCAAATAAAGATGAAGTGTCTAGGAATTGGAACTTTCTTCCCATCATGGCAAAAAGATACAAGATTTGCAGCTGGCTTCCCTTCCCAGCATGGACAACGCTGAGCTGCTTACATTTAGCAAGACTATTGCATTCATCTCCATACAGTATTAACTACATTGTAATAGATCAATAGACCATGTTGAATGACATATTTAAGATTTATTATATCATTAGCTTTTGTGGACAAAGCAGCACATTTTCTCAAGTGAGCTGTGTCCACAAAAGCTTATCCTGCAATAATTTTGTGGGATCTTACATTTTGTTACTCCTGTGGAAGTAATAGATTGAGAAGCCATCAGAAGACATGCAAAATAAATGATAGGCAGTGGGCCTATTAATTCAAGAACTCTTGAGGTCCTGAAAGCCAGAGAAAATAGTGACAGACCAACTAAACAAAGCATCTGCTTTGAGAACTGACTGCAAGTCCATGTCCACCACTTTTCTTTGCTAGCATGCTTCTTGGCTTCAGCAAGTACAACTGCTGCCTCACAACTAGTCTTTAAACTAAGGAGCCTCATTTACCAAAACCTTTTAGTGAGGAGGAGAACGGAGACCAGCATGTGGTAAGCAGAAGGGAAGAGAGCTGGAAGAGCAAGTTCACCAACGATACAAAGGAAACTACTTTGCGTGAAATAGTGTAGTAAGGATAGCCTCCCCTGCCACGCACCAACCAGCACCACTGGTTATACGTCTGCCATAGATGTTATCGCATGCAACTGTAACCTACCTTAATACCATTCAAAACAACACATAGTTTTGAGTCAGACAAGACATTCATAAATTTAATTTATTCAGTTCAGCAAGAGTGATGAAAACCTGAGGCATGTGCATACAGCCCAGAATAGTTAACAGAGAAAGCATCCTACAGTTTGCACTGTGACACCAAGCTTTTACATTTTCTTAATAAACCTTTTCTAAGACAAGATAATTATGCTATCCATCTTCAAGTGCTTTGTCACCTATGAAAGTTGTACAGTTTCCATAGAAGCTAGTGAAATGTGCATTTGAGAGCACTGACATCTAAGGCAGTAGCTTGGCAAATCTCTAATTATTGGAAGTCAAGAGTAACAGATTTAATAGAGCTTTAGAGATAATTCACTGTTATAGTTTGGGCAGGTGATATGTGTGTTATGTCACTTTCTGCAACACCTTTAACATTTTCTACTTTGAGCATATTTGTTTTATACTACCTAATATAGCATACAAAGCAATTATTTAAGAGTTATGTGTGCAGTTTCGACCCTACACAGCCCTGCCCTTGTTAACAAGAGATTACACGCAAGACTGAGCTTTCTCTTACTACAATATGAATTTATGGCTTAGTAATGATTTGTGTACAGGTTGGAAATGAGGTATCATCTCGTCATTTCAGGAAAGTGACAGTACAAATTGAGTTTCTCCCTGGCAAGTCCTGAAAATGAAAACTGCACCAGTAACTGGCAGTCTCCAAAACATTGCTACATACAAACAAACAAACAGAATATAAATGATATCTTAATTTAAATGTTGGGAAAACTGTCTATCCTCATGCTATTACCAATTTTCATATATGATAAAAATATTAATCAACTTAGAAAAGCATAGTCAACAGCAAACAAACAACTCCTGTGCTGTTTGGTGAACTGTTCACTAGAAGTAAAGCTTTTTTAAACATACCCTGGGAAATGTTTGGGAATGCATTTATTAATGAACCGCAACAGAAAAGTTCTAATCAGACACCTTGATCCTAAAATGGGGAATGAAAGGAATTGAAGTAGGCTGAATCTGAAGCATCCACTACAGCAGCCCTGCAGTTTGTAAACCACAGCCAACTAGCAACCGTGGAGGACACTTCTCAAGGGGCTTCTTGCATTACTACATGCCCAAGACTATACAACCATGTGGCTGGCAAGTGTGTAGCAAGGCACTATGCAATGCTACTCCACTGCGTTCAAGCTTGTGTGCATTCTGTGCCCTCAGATCTGAATCTGATTTATAGTAACTAATAGGGCTTTCAAGGTAAGTGAGCTATTTAAGGAGTGATTTACCAGTTCCACTTCCCCAATGAGTTTTCATGGCCAAGTGGGGATTAGAACTCTGATCTTCAGAGTCCTAGTACATCACTTTATTCACTACAAGACACTGGGAATCACATTTAAGCTCTTTTATCAATGCAGGCCTGCATCAAAGCCAGGTCATAATTTTAACATTTGTGAAATACATTGAGTACAGATGATAAAGGATAAAGCAGAAGCAACACTTATTATGGATGTAGTGTTTCATTTGAAAATCTAGACGGGTGCCTCTCCTACGTGGGTTCCTACAGTAAGGAATTTGAAGACATCCTCCTTCCATCTGCAGGACATCAAGACCCTCCAGACATTGTAAAGTTTCCTTTTAAAGCAGTAAGAAACACTGTAACAACACCATATGGAGCCTTTCTTAAGGTCAAGAGAAAGCTATTATGGATTTAGCCTACATCTAATTGTTAGTCCTAACAGAAACAGATACATCGAATCAATTGCTGATTGTAAACTCCATTGATTTAGCAAGTCTAGCCTAACAAGGACTAGCAGTTGGGATTTAGGCTTTATTTCATTTCACAATGCCTCTAAATATAATTTCAGTGAAGGTGGGCAAAGTGTAGCTTGTGGGCAGCATGTGGTCTTCTAGGTCCTTCCTGAACCCTGATGCCCCTTGCAGAAAATAAATTTGCCAAAAAAACACCCACCCCAAGATAATTTAATGTACCTGGTAGCCTCCAAGAGTAACAATACTGCATCAGAACAAGGCACATGCCTGCCCAGCTTGTTTTAACTCCCTCTCCAAAACCCAAATGTTCACAACCAGTCATGTCTGCTTTTCATTTCTGTGCTTATTGGGGGACTGCTATGTCCTACAGTGAATTCTGAAATTCACTGTAAACATGTCCATAACATGAGACAATTTTAGTTTGTAATATGGCAGGTTATCTGAAGAAATTCAGCACTTGCATACTTGGCTTATAATTGGCTGGCTACCAAACACAAGATTTTAAAAAGTAACTTACGTATTTCTAGAAACATCAGAAGCGTTTTACTGTTCTTCCTCAGATGTACATTTTCAGAAGTTAATTACATATAAACTGTACATACTAAAATGAAGGCTGCATTTCTTTATGAAACAGCATTGCAGAATAGTTCTACTTTAATGTCACCTCAACTCTTAATGTAGTTTTTATAAAGTTAGAAAACAGAAAAATATCTAAACATTGAGATTTCTTCTCAGTAACATTATGCACTGCTGTCTGAAGTATATACAGTACAGACTTGGAAAGTTCAGGAAATTTCAGACAAGTCAAACATTAATTTGTTCCAGAGCTTGGAAATGCTCTGCTGGCAATCTCACCAAAACCTAGAGTACAGGAAATCAAGTGCTATATGGGCTTGTCTTTTTCTCCAAACTCCTGTCTCTCTGGAAGGAACAAAGGAAATTAGGGTTGGCAATACACATCCAATCATTCAGGTAAAACAGAGAATAAGCCATCTAAAACAACCCCCACATGTGTAACCTATGTAAGTTTATTTCATAAATACAGCATAATATAAATGCACCTGTTTCTTAGCAAATCTTGCTTGGATGCAGTGGGAATGGCTATGACTTAGAACATTCACTTCTCTTCAATGTATTTCTTGTACATGAAACATTATATGCTTTAATGCAGTTGCTACTAAGCTATGATTCCAGTGACCAGAAAATAAAATATCCCTCACCCCACCTTGTCATGAAAGGTTTGGTAGTGAAATCAGGTAATTTATGTAAGACTAGGGTCAGCTTCATTAAATTAGATACAATTCATGAAAACCATTTAATCACTATTAAAATAGTGATTAAAGTGGCAATGACATGGAAAAGAAATGAGGTAATTAAATCCAGTGAGTGTATCCTCTCTTGTTTTTGCTCATTTGTCTCATCCTCTACCATTAAATTACAAAAAGGGGAATAAAGAGGAGATAACAAAGAAAGATGCAAAGGCCACCAATGAAGCCCTGAGAATGAAGAGGGGTTAAAAAGCTGAGGCTCTGTTGTGTTGTTTTCCTGGATTTTCAAACTGAGTTTATATACATGCAACAAAGAAGTTTTATGATATGCCCTGCTTTGTTTTTCCTTCCGAATCCTCCTATCTCTCTTCTTTGGAGCTTGAGGCTTATGGATTGAAATTGATGTTTGAGTTGAACAAAACAGGCAGCAGATTATTAATTTTCAATAAGTTTTTTGGCTTTCACATTAGCGTGTTCAATACGGTCTTTATTTGTTTCAGCCTGAAATAGAAAACATAATGCAAAATAATTAGTAAACTAGGAAGACAGAAAGAACACATTCAAGACATGTTGTGTTGTTTTTTCTTCAACAACTGGCCAAGAACAAGTTTATGTGTGACATTATGGAAAGGCAAGAAGAAGTACTGAGCACAGTAGGTCATTAGAATTTCTTGTACCCTCAAATTCATTACAGATATGGAGCAAATATTACCTACAAGTCACTGAATGGAGAAAATATCTGGGACTGTGAATGACCTGGTAGACAACCATGGGAGTCAACCAGTGACAAAAATGTTATATCAACACTTCTGGATGTTCTCTAAAGCAGTGGTTCCCAACCTTGGGTTCCTAGATGTTCTTGGATTAAAACTCCTGGAAGCCATTACCAGGATGCTGGCCAAGATTTATGGGAATTATTTAGTCCAAGAACATCTGGAGAACCCAAAGTTGGGAACCACTGCCCTGGAGCATTTACAGCAAAACTGAAGGTGCACATTTTAGGGTATAAAAGTCTAAAAGACTCAGGGTTCAGTTTCCTTCTTCATATCTTCTTGCAGTTAGGAATAGTGAAACAAGCTGGGAGGCATGATTAGAGCTACTCGTTTCTGTTGGCATACTCTTCTTCCAGAAGTCCAACAAAAAACAGATCACCTTGTTTTGTAAATGCCCTAGAATTTTGATAAGTTGTGGTATTACATTTTAGGAAAGATGTAACACCCTCAGTATTCAAAATGCCTCACATACATGATCTTAGTAGCCTTCCTCTTGATGTTGGTGCCATCAACCCCTACACAATGTGCTAGGGCACAAGACAAACTAGCTATACTCTTATGCAACATAAGCAGCTTATATCTGAGTGGAGATCTGAACCAAGTATTTCCAGGTGTGAGGTCAGGTTTGCAATTACTACCATGTTTTCCCCAAAATAAGACAGAGTCTTATAATAATTTTTGCTCCAAAATGTATTAGGGCTTACTTTCAGGGAATTTTTTATTTTACAGTCATGTCATGTCATCTTCTTTGCTGCTCAATGGTGGATGATGGGGTTTCACTTAACCGGAGCTTATTTTTGGGATAGGGCTTATATTACAAGCATCCTGAAAAATCATACTAGGGCTTATTTTCGGGTTAGGTCTTATTTTCAGAGAAACAGGGTATGATACTATGAACGTTTGTGAAATTACTGTGGTGCCCCGCTTTACGATTACCTCGTTAAATGATGAAATCGCTTCACGATGATGTTTTTGCGATCGCTATTGCGATCGCAAAACGAGGTTTCAAAGGGTGACTTTCGTTTGACGGGAACCGATTCTTTGCATTATGACGATCTAAAAACAGTTGATCGTCGGGTTTTAAAATGGCCCCCCACTGGGCAAAATGGCTCCCCACTGTTTTTAGGTTGGATTTTTCGCTGAGCAGGGATCGGAAAATGGCCGCCCTATGGAGGCTCTTCGCTGGACGCTGAGGTATTTCGCCCACTGGAACGCAATGCGTTTCAATGGTTTTTTTTTCCTCGCTTGATGACGATTTTGCTCTACCGCAATTTCGCTGGAACGGATTATCCTCGTCAAGCGAGGCAACACTGTATACCCCATTTCCTATGAAGGTCAAGTTACTTTTAAAAATTGGAAAATTTATTTATTTATTTATTTATTTATTTGATTTATATCCCGCCCATCTGGTAAGTCGGTATCACTCTGACCATTACTAATAAAGGGTTGGGCAATAGATCCTTTTAATAAATAATAATGGCAAATTTAGGACAATGTGCTTATCCTTCAGTTATCTTTATTATTCGTTACACAATATCTGGATTAAGAATCTAAAGCATACATTCTACACCTTTCAAACTGCAATGCAACACTCAAATGTGTAATGAAGAACCCACAAGTGCCTCCCTCAACTTTTACTAAGATACCATCTTTTTCATACTACAAGGAGGAGGAAAGATTTTCTCAGGTTCCGGCAATTCCAACTGTAGGTTCTGACTAAAAACTACCTTCATTGTTTCTACAGGTAATGTTCACAAGCAAAGAGCTTGCTATAAAACCAGAATAAACCAATGTAATGAGAAAGTCCATGTCTTGGGTGCAAAGATGTTACTCATTAATTGTTTATTAAAGCCACCTGTTTATTGTTTTTTTTTTTTGCCCACCAGGGCTCCAAAATCATTTACAATAGATTAACATTATTGATCACAGATTTAAAACAATCTTTAGAAGAAGATTAAAAGTATATTTTAAATGAAAACATTCTCTAAAAGCCTATTTTAACAAAAATCCATCAAAACATTTTTGCTATCTGTTAGACTATCAGCCTTGGGAGAGAGTTTTACATTTGGAATTCTACAGAAAAAGCTCTGTCTTAAGCAGCCACCAGAGTGGTAGGAGGTGTACCAATATGAGGATGTCAAACTCTGAGTAGGTACGCATAGCAGGCAGCTATCACATATCCTCTCCTTAAGCCATTTAGACCTCTACTGATCAAAATCAGCACCCTGAATCAAGTTTGGAAGTGCTACTGGCAGCCAGTGCAAATGGTTCAAGACTGGTGTTACAGGATCTCTAAAGTGTACACCAGCTAATGCTGTGGCTGCTGTGTTTTGCTTGCTCTTTAGACAAAGGGCTAAGACATGTTGCTAAATTGGAGGATCTGGCTGCAGCCTAGGATTGTGGTGCAAAGAACTTGTTGAGTTGCCCATCTCAGTACTAGAATCACCAAGATTAAGGCACAAAGGGCGGGATTCTTGTTTCTTACCTTTTCATTTATCCGGTCTATCTGTTTGTTTTGTGAATCAATCTCATTACCCATATCCAAGGCCATATTTTTCAGATTTCCCAAGATGTTTCCTACTTGGGCTAGGTTTTCATCCATTTCATCTTCTCTGGCATCATTTGTTATCCTGTCAAGAAAATCATACGTTGAGAACTCGCAAGTTAATTTTCTCCTACAGGTAACATAATTTTCACTAACAGAGACTTCTACCAAGTATGGTTTGAAAATCTGAATAGAAAGCTATTACCCAAAACATACAATTAAATATTTTTCAGACTTATCTCTTATGAGTTTCCCAGAATAGATTTTTTTTCAATAATTTTAGATACAAAATCTGTTGTTCCTCAAAACAATTATTTATTCCTGTGTGTACTTAACAGTATATGATAAATTAAGCATCCCACCGTGTTATATATCCTCCAGTTGATCCTCCTGCAGTCTGTTGCTGATAGTCTAATACTCGACCGGGCTGTTTAGACACAACATGATCAGCTGAATTTTCTACTCCATCACCCCAGGTTGTCTTATATGCTTTGCTAGTCTCAAAATTCTTCATTCTGTAAGAAAAGCAGTCAAACATAATTAGAGCAAAAAACTATAGATTTTTAATTGACTTACTATACAATTTCTAAATAGAAAAAATAATGTAGACTATCTCCTGATAAGATATTTACAGTACAGACAAATGTACCAGCAGAGTTCACATTTCCTATGTTAGTGATTTTACATAGTTGTATGGAATGTAATAATTAACAGAATGATGTACATACAGGAGAAAATAACTTGAGTACAACCTGCATTTTGTAGTTCAAAAATTTACCTGACCAAAATCTGACAAACTACTATTTAATTTTTTTAGTGCCACTTTAGAATAGTTCTCCACATTTTTATAACTGTATGTAACTTACCAGTTTCCTGAAATAAAATCTAATAGGTTTACCACTAAATACCAGTATCAACATTCCAGACAACACAACAGTTTCAGATTTATTAGGTCAGAGTAAACACCTAAACACAATTTATAAACACTGTACAGATACCATACAGCTACGGACTGTCACAAGATTGCTCGCATGTTAAGACAACATACACATGCAAACATGCACCTAGTTAGAAAATCACCTTCAGACAGTTGGTTAACAGTACAGGCTGCTTCATAAGATTGACCTTTTCCTAAAGTCCGCTTTGATTCCAATCTCTTGTGTTAAATCTTCATTTTGTTAAGCAAGAAAGATCAGTGTGGTTAGGAGAGAATGAGAAAACAGTGACCAGTAAGACAAGCAAACAGATAAACAGTTGTTAGCAAACAAACTATCTCAAAGTATAGCAGGAGTTATGTTTTTAATCAAGAGAAGAAGAGAGAGAAGAAAGTGAATGTTGTAAACTTGGCACTTCTGTTGAGGTTACACTATTCTCAGAGGGAAAGTGCCAGATGGTTCAGAGAAATGAAATGAAAGCCACCATCTGATTTCTCCTCCTATATTTGTTCCAGTTGCTGTTCTGGGATAAAGTGTGTTGAGGAAGACACCACACAAACTTTTACAATGTGCATAAAGTAAGAATATTGAAATTACCTAGGATTCTTTCATGCAAGCTAAGCCCTCTCCTAAAGAAAAGAGTGAGAATGTGACAGTGGAAGAGGAAAATACTTTTTTTATATTTAACACTTTCCTTCTACTCTCCTCTTCCCAGCATTCAAAGCATCTACTGGTGGCATTTTACTTCTAATCACTCAGCTGGACAAAAAGGTTCACAGGTTCATCACACTAGCTAATGTTATTCCAATAATACCAATGGATAGGGATACAGAACAATGTATTTTCAAAACACCAAATAAGTGTAATTAAAAAAGCCATCCACATCAGTTGCTTTATTCCTCCCCCCCAACATATTTCAACTAGATTGAAATAATCTGTACTCCTTAAATTTTAGGTAAAGGTAAACGTTCCCCCTGAAAATTTTTGTCCAGTCATCTAAGGGGCAGTGCTCATCCCCGTTTCCAAGCCATAGAGCCAGCGTTTGTCCGAAGACAATCTTCCGTGGTCACATGGCCAGTGCAACTTAGACACGGAACGCTGTTACCTTCCCACCGAGGTGATCCCTATTTATCTACTCGCATTTGCATGCTTTCGAACTGCTAGGTTGGTGGGAAATTTTAGAGCCTTCCCTTAAAACAGTGTTTCCCAATTTGTGAGCAGTGACACCTAAGGAGATCACATAGTGTTTTCTGGGATTGGTGGTTGTGGATTGCACTGTATGTGTTGTAGCCCATAGTAAATAATTTATTCCTTGACCTTTAACAAGAGGAAATTAAAGCTGTATAAGAAACAGGCCCTCTGAGGGAGAAAGAAGCCCTTACTTTCTGAGAAGGGATGACTTACCCCAATGAGTATGTCTTCTTATCCAAACATAGCGGGGTGGGGTGGGGGGGTCGCAAGTTACTTGGTTATAATAAAAGGGGGACATGAGTTGGAAAAAGGTTGGAACCACTGTCTTAAAACATGGCAGAACAACTTAAAACACACAAGAGAAAAATTCACAATCTTTGAACGTTTGAATTTATTCCTGAGCTGAATATTTTTCTTGAAAAACTTATCTTATAAATCTAGTTTTAACTGACCTATTGCAAGGGCAGACACACAAACCACAACATTTGTTGAGTTCTGTCAAGTTCTTCTCAGCTTCTCTCATATCCTTGTTTATTTGGTCCATGCCTTCTTCTATACGGTCTAGTTGTTCTAGAGATATATTCAGATAAAATAAAAGAATAAGAAACCTTAAAGGATACAAGATATTTTTATGTCAGATAATAACTTACAAAATTTATATTTAAAATTTTTTTATTGTAGCTGGGACACCACACTGGAAAGCAGTTAATTATTTTAAATGCCTGGTGTGCATGTGGCTAATGTCAGTTTGTATATCTATACTGTATTAGTTGTGTGTGATGTCTCACTATTTGAAGTGTATTTTTAAATGTGATAGATTTATATGTTACTATTAGTCTAAACACCACATGGTTCTGTACCACACATGTACAACTTACCCCCTTGTTCATCTAGCATGGTAATGGTTTTGATTCCTGCATCTTGGGACTGTAAGGAAGAGAATATATTAATAGGAAGTACAGAACAAGCAAAAACTGGACACTAAAGTTGATATAAAAAACATTCAGTAAATGGTTACATGAAACAGAACAGATCAACTAGTACAATTATCTGCACTGGTGCTATGTAAATTTCAAAGTCCATTATCAGTTGTGATTTAAGAAGCATACAGGACATTAATATCACTTTTCCATGCATTTTCATCACCGCTCTTCTACAAAGACTTTAAAAATGCACCTGTGTGCTTTAAAATAACAATATGTATTTTACAAATTGCACACATGAACAGTTTTGAAACAATTTGGTCATTTTCTTCTCACACAGTTTTGAGCGATTCCTTACCTCAATGGCCATGCCAAGAATCCTTCTTGTGCTTTCTAGAGACTAAAAGAAAAAAGAGATTTCTCTTCATGCATGCTAATCTTTAAAAGGATAGAAATATCACATTATAGTACAGTGGTGCCCCACATAGCGATGATAATCCGTTCCGAAAAAATCATCGCTATCCGGATTCGTCGCTATGCGGGACAAAAAATCCCATAAGAATGCATTAAAACACATTTAATGCGTTCCTATGGGGGAAAAACACACCGCTATGCGGAAATCCTCCATGCAGCCAACATTTTCGCTGCCCGGTAAGCAAGGAAAGAGCGCGAAAACACAGTGGGTGGCCATTTTATTTACCCGGCGGCCATTTTGGAACCGCCAATCAGCTGTTTTAAAAACATCGCAAAGCGGTGTTTTCCCATTTAAAACATTGCAATGTGATCGCTTTTGCGATCGCAAAAAACACATCGCTATGCGGATTCGTTGTTAGACGGGGCGCTCGTTATGCGGGGCACCACTGTATATATTATTTCAAGAAATTCTGTATAACGATATATCTCAAACTATAACCAAGATGCAGAGGTTTTTTGCCAGGTAGCAACATACTTGCATTTCAGCATTATAAAAGTAATTTTGGGCAGTATGAGACGTTTATTAAGAATAAACTTTTGATTCTAAATATATTTCTTTAAACTGGCAACTACTTTTGACTTCATAAGTATATGGGATACATTTTTGGCTTGAGAAATATTTACCTCATCAGTAACCTGATTTGCTCTTAGTTGAATTTCTTCTGGAGATAGCTCAGCCATGATCAACACTTATTTTCCAATATCTTGAATATAAAAGAAAAATTGGATTTATCCTGAAACAACATATCATTTACAATGTCAGAGTCCTGATAAATTTCATACAGTAAAAATCAATTACAAACATGATAAGAAATTTCTAATTATATGTATAAGCCTCTCAATTTTCTGAAATCACAAAAACCAATTTTAAACTTCCAACATCAGAATAATCTATGATCAAAATGATTATATAGAAAACCCAAAATGAAATAGTCCCTGTCAGGAATTATGCTAATTGCTTTAAAATAATTAGTCTCTAGATAGCAGCTTCAATAACAAGCTAAAACTAAGGAAGGAGGAAAAACTGAACTCTGCCCAGTCTTATTCACTTACAAGCATCCCAAATTATCCTGTAATTTTCTCTTGCTCCCACAAAATCCAAATATCTACACAAGATAATCATCCATAGTGGTTTGTGCATGTGCGCCCATACACACATCTGCATTTTAAAAAGGGGAAATACCCAGAACAAACAGTGTACTGCAACAATTTTCTGAGAGAAGGGTTGCATTTTCTGACAGATTTGCAAGGGTGCCAATATTTTCTGGTCACGACTGTACAAAGCATAGCAGCATAGACCAAACAAAGTAAATTCAAAGCACTTGCTTTGCAATTTCAGCATTGGATTTCAATAGAATGGAAAGTAAGTGTTAAATATTTTATAATAATAATAATAATTATTATTGTAGAGTTGCAGAACTGGAAGGGACCCTATGGATCATAGGTTCCCAAAGTGGGTATATGGAGCCCCCGGGGTCGATTTTGACTTGCAGGGGTTCATGTCAGAGAGGAAAAAAATGGGGGTGCAAGTTCAGACTTTTATCAAAGCTTTGCAGGGGATCTACAGAAAACAAGTCAGCAAGTGGTTTACGGGGCAAAAAAGTTTGGGAACCTATGAATGGATCATTAAGTCCAGCCCATCAAGGAGTCATAGTGGGGAATCAAACTTCCAACCTCTAGCTCCGCAACCAGATGCCTAAACCACTGAGCATAGGTTCAGTAGTATAGTTCGCAGGATCAGAATCTGATGGTTCACTTATCTACATTTTGAAAATATTAAAATAAAAATCCTAGAAATACATATTTCTAAAGATGAAGTTACCAGAACTGGCCAGTAGAAGGAGCCAGAGACCACACTATGCATAGTGTTCATTATTAAAATTGCATTTGCTATAATCCATATTTTTCTGCATTCGTGGTGGGGGCTCGGAACCAATTCTCCCGTGGATACAGAGGTCCTACTATATTTTCAAATCCTTCTCTTTATGTTTAAAATGGGGCAGAAAAGAACAAAAAAAATTAACAACTTTATTTTTCAAGACAATACATCGTGTCCAGCATTTCAAAATAATTATTTCTGGTAAATTGTTTAAAACCATGCAGACAGTAATCAATAAATTCAACTGCAATAGAAAAGCTAGAAATAAAGCCATGCTAAAACATAACAGCTATGTTAAAACATTTTTTTTAAAAAATGTAAAGATTAGATTGTTTGGTGAAACAAACAGGGGCCACAGGGTAAATACGACAATTGGTATCCAGTGGTAGGATACAAAATAATCCAGTAAAGCCAAAGTTTAAAAGTGAATTTTCTGGAGTCATGGGTACCTTTTATTCAGAGGTCTGTGGCGACCTGCTGGAGCTTTTGTGGAAAAGCTTAGTGGCGGGGTTTCTGAACCCAGATCTGAGGGAACTAAAGATATGGAACTGGCTCTAAAGCAGAGGTCATCAACCTTTTTTGGTCCGCGGCCCGTTTGAGGCTTGTGAGCCCCGTGCGTGGACTGGTTGGGGGTGGGGCACCCCCGTGCTCACGAGTGGGTGTGTCATGCTTGCAGGTGGGCATGTTGCGCTTGCTCATGCTAATAGTCGGTGTAACAATGTGCTAACCATTCCCCCAGGGCCCCTTGCAGGAGAGCAGTACCCTTCCCTGCGGGCAGCCCACATGGGAAGTGCCAATGGGCAGCCACCAGGCGGGAGCGTTTGCGTTATCCTGCTGCTTCTTGCCCGGCCGACTCTTCCCACAAGAGGAAAAGGGAAGCAAAGAGTCGGACACGACTTAATGACTAAACAACAACAAGCCCAAAAAATAAGCCCTAGTTAAGTGAAACCCCACCATCCACCATTGTGCAGCAACCAGAATACGACATAACCATAAAAGAGAACACCCCCTGAAAATAAGCCTTAATGTGTTTTTTGAAGCAAAAATTAATTAATTGACATTTGTAAGCCGCCCCGAGTAGACTTTGTCTAGGGGGGGCGGGGTAAAAATCTAATAAATAAATAAATAAATAAATAACATAACATAACATAACATAACACCCTGTCTTATTTTTGGGGAAACACAGTAAGCAGTAACTCAGAAGCAAAATTTCCCATAGGAATGCATTGGAAACCATTTAATCCGTTTTGGCTGTTTTTCGTTCTTATCTAGAGCTGCTGTTCCCAAATACTGTACAGGCATTAGTTTTTATAGGAACTAATGCAAATACGGTTAATCTGTACTCTACCACTAGGGGGAGAATTTTTTTCTTTTTTTCTTCTTTTGACCCGATGAATTTAGGTAAAAAAAAAGGGCAAGAAAGGAGGGACGAGGGAGGGAACACCTTCTAAAGTCTAAACACAAGACCTTTTAACACAAGCACCTTTTAAACAAAACCAAGCACCTTTTAGCTTAAACAAGGGCAGGAGAACACCTTTTAAAAAGAACACTTTTTTTTCTGTTCGTACAGTAACTCGAAGCTCCCTTGGCAAGCCAAAGCAAAATTTTGTGAATGGAGCGGTTTGTAAGTCAAAACGTTCCTAGTTGGGACGTAAGTAAGTCGAGGTTCCACTGTATTTATTTCCATGTGAATTTTTTGGGATTGTATGTGTGTGAGGAAACAGAATATAACCCACAAAAGCTCACAGGGAAATAAATTTGTTAGTCTTAAATGTGCCACAATATTTTTACGTTAATACATTTACTAATAAAACGGTGAGATTTTGTAATACAGTTGATACACAGTTTAGGATCAGTTTTCAAGAGAATGTTTTAGTGCCCATGCAGTGAACAGCTTGATTCCCTTTTTGTTTTGTTTTTTGCATTGACTGGTCAAATAAAAATTTAAAAATAAGGACATCACTCAGAAAGATTTCCTGTCTTCTCTTATCAGCTTCCTGAACATCCTGTAGGAACAATAGGGTTATTGCTGCTCTTTCAGTCACCTTAGAATTATGTAATCATCTGGGTTGTTTAACACTTTAAGTTACCTGTTGCTGAAAAAAACTTTATAAAACTGACAGAACTGAATTCCACAGACCTGTAACAAATGCAAAAGTTTGGAGGGAAAATAACAAAGAACACTATCAACCCCTCCCTCAAAAAAGGGGGAGATTTTTCCATGGCAGATTTTATCCTTTCCAAAGCTGTATTCCTTCCTAGTTTTAATGCCAAATCCACAAACAATACCTATGAATTTCAGTTTTCAAAGAAGTACTGCAGCTGTGTTAGTCTGTTTCAATATGTACTACAGAAGCAGAATAAAACCAGAAGTCTTGTGGTACCTTTAAAACCAACAGATTCATTTTCATATTAGACTCCTTCTTGCCACAATATATTATCCTCACATAAAGAGACTAATGTGAAGGTTTGGGCAATTTCTGGGTAGGCATTTAAAATGGCACGTCCTGCCTTCAGAAAAAAAAACTGCCACATTCTCCATGTATACATTAAATTGTTTTAGGTCAGTGATGGCAAAACATTTTGATCCCGATTGCCCAAACTGGGGGGGGGGGGAGACAGTGGGCAGTGGAAGTGATGGCGGAAGGGAGAATCCTGGGCACGGAGGTGCCTCCAGACCCCACTCCGGATTCACATCCAATTGAGCCCAAACCCCACCAGCGCCAGCTGTTCCAGATCCTGGCCCGCCACTTGTTGGGGCGCTAGCACCATGTCTGCAGCCACCTCCTCAGGTGTGGCTGCCGGGGGTGGCAATCTGGCGACTTATGGCTCATGTACCTGCAGAGTGTGCGCTGCATGCCAGCTGTGGCACACGTGCCATAGGCTCACCATCGCTGTCTTAGGTGATCAAAGAGCCTTCCCACTGCATGGATATGAAGTTGACAAGACACAGAAAGAAGCAGGAGCAGGAGGATATAAGAATGCATATAAAAGTTACTGAACAGCAAGAAGGTACAGCAGAAGGCCAGAGGAACTGCTGCAATATGCTCTCCATGAGAAAACCTTTGAGCAGTGTCCAGAAGCTCCCAGTGGTTCAATATGTATCAAGAGATTACTCCAACAGGTGCAATTGATATTAAGATATGAATCCAATTTGTTTTAAACTTTAAAGGGTCCAAAAGTTTGGGGCCTAGCTATTTAGGGAACGGTCTATCTCATCATCATCATCATCATCATCATCTTAGAACTGCAGAAGCTAGGGATCATCGAGTCCAGCCTCTGTCAAGAAGGCACAGTGGGGAATTGAACACCCAACCCAAATGCCTAAACCACTGATTTATCTGAACCCATCTGGATGTTAAGATTTTCAAAGATCCCTTTTGTGAATACTGATGCTTGCAGACAGCTCCTGGATGAACAAACAGAGCTTTTTTCTGTGTTACTCCCAGCATTCTTTTCAAAATGCATACCTCTCAGAATTACAATTAGTTCCCACCCTTATTACTTTTTGGAAGGTTGTGGAAACATCTCCAAATTGTCCTTTAAAACTGTGTTGGTGTTTTATTAACAATTATTATAACTTAAACATTAAATTTTTTTCTCAGTGATGTTAGCAAAACTGAAAACAGGAAAAAAATTAAATAAAGAGGAACACAAAGTGACAACATACAGAAAAAATCTATACATTTTTTCAGTATGTTGTCATTCTGTGTTCCTCTTTATTTAACAATAAAGACCACATTCAGAGAATTTTTGTGAACAAGATTATCAGGAGGCTCTTACTGATGTTGAAGAAAAGCAAGGCTCAGTACAGAACTTGCATAAAGGCCCAGCCACTGTTAGGTAGTGCAACAACAGAGTACAAAATATGTCATTTTCATTTATCACCTGCATGTTATGGGCGTAAGTTTATGCATATGGAAGTCTGCTAAGTATCTAAAGCTGGAGCCCACACGGAACAGGTTAAGCTGGTTAAGTATCATCGGCCTAAGTCTGCACCTTTATAGTAAAAAATCTATCTAGCTCAGAACATTTATCACTGCACGCAAGTAAGACAGATAGTGCCACGGGACATACTCTTCAAATGGAAGCTTAAGTAACTTTCATCCCCAAGATGACCTTCCATGAATTTAAGAAGTTGTTATTTCAGATAAGTTTAACTGATACTGATGTTTGTAACACCTTAGCCTGTGACCTGAAGGCAAAAGCAGTGTAGATATATATCTACGAATGAAAAATTGATCCAGTAGTTCAAAAGCTATTCTTCACACTGGGTTTTGATATGTGCTTCAGAATTTTGTTAAAACATCCACATAACGGTTCTTTCTTCACCATCTGTGATGAAGATAAGGCTGATCAAGGTTAAAAGAGAAAGAAAAACCGTTATGTTGGGCTTTCCTCAGCAGTAAGAAATGGACCAGCACTAAACCAGATGCAACAGCCTGTAATAGTAGGGCTTGTAAATTTGGCTTTATGTTCATCTTGGGCTTGTTAATGTGAAGATGTAACAGTTATGAACCAAGAATCATCTCCAGATTTTGAGGTTTCTTCTAGCAAGTCTTTATCCAGTCTCTCTGACTGAATCTATCTCTCTACCATTGCCATAACTGCCCATTTGCTCTCATTTTCTCAGTTTATACTCCTGATTTGAAAGCTAAGGTAGGCAAGTAGGAACTGTTGCTCCTTTGGTGGCCACTGAGGCCCATATCCTTTGGACAAGCCGGCTATGGGCATCAGTAGGTGCCACAGGAAGTTTCCACACGTCTGAACCTTCTGCTGTTGACTATATTAAAGGTCTTTCCTCACTCCTCGTCGCAATCCTGTCTTGTATTTCCATGAAAACGTCCTGCACACAAAGTGACAAGTCCAAAACGACGTGAGTGAGAGACAGGGCAGCCCTGAAGACAGAGAGGCAGGCAGCCGATGGGCAGCATTCCTCCGGAAACCTCCCCAGACCCAAGGAAGCCGGGGCCTAGCCCGGCAAAAGTGGCCAGAGCCCGGCACCCCGAAACCCGGCGCCAGCGATCCCAGGCCCCGCCGGAGGGGCTCAGCTCGGCTCCGGAGGATGCCCGCGGTGCCTTCGGCGCTCCCTCCTGCTCTCTCCAGCCGCCACCACTTCCTGCCTGCCTGCCTGGTCCTTCCTCCTGAGGGATCATCATCTGCCTGAACCCCGGCCGGGGCCTGCTCCTGCCTCTTCGGCCGGTCTTCGCTATGGGGCTCAGCCTCGACTTCCTACCTCTTTGCTGCAAAAAACGAGCCAAGGCGTTCCCGCCGGCCTCACTATTTTCCTCTCCGGCGCGGCGCCCCGGACGACCCCGTTCTCTCGGGCGTTCACGCCTCACCCGTTCCCCACGAACGGCGCCTCCCACCGGCCACCGTCCCGGACCCACCAGCTCCCGAGGACACCGCCGGGAAACTCGCCTCTTTCTCAGCTCGTCTCCTTCCCTCCGTCGTCCTGCTCTCCCAGGGTCCACACGCGGAATCCCCCTGAACGCAGCCAGCCGCCTTCCTCCACTTCCCAGACTTCAACCCAGGGCAAGGGGGCAGTGAAGGGAGGAGACCCCGCTCTCCTCTCCGGCCTTTTTACCGCCGAGTCTTGGGAACCCCTTGCTTTCCCTTCCCTCGCCTCAGCCGAACCCCACCCCGTCCACTTTCCCTCCCGGAGCTTCCCCCCCTCCCTTCAGTTCCTCTTCGGCCACCCGACCGACCGACCGACCAGCCGCCTCCCCGCCCTTTTCCACTACCTACCGTCTAAGCGAGCAACCTATTGGTCGCTTCCTCTGGAAATTCATAACGTTATTGGTGAAAACCAAGAGAAGTCACGCTCTAGCTCCGCCTTTCACTACCTCTTGCTCCACGTTAAAGGTTTGGCCCCGCCTTTTTTCCGTTTCCTGTTGGGTTTTTTAAAAAAGTTATTCAAAGGATAAACACGGTTGATCAAGTTTGGTTTGTACCTCAGAAACACTGAACTAAGTGGACAATCCTAAGAGGGTTTTTTTCCCCCTGGTTCTGTGTTATTCTTGCCTAAACCGGTAAACGTGTAGATCATCCTCTGAACCTAACGAAAAGATGCTAATATAGGGGACACTTACTTGGCAGTAACGAATTACTGTTCTCACAAGTTGGAGGTACTATATAGATCATGTCTTGAAATGTTCCCCTTGGAAATTAAAGCACAATAAGCTGATTACTCATAAACAAGTGTAAGGTTCAGCAGAGTTTTGATTTTACGTTCATTCGCATGTGAGGGACTGCAAGTCTCTCCAAGACACGCCTCTGTGGCATTCATGATATGTGTGAATTCTTCAAAATGCCTAGCAGTTTCTCTCCAGGAACTTTTCTTCTTCCAAATATTATGAGTGTCTCCTATTCCATTTCTTTTTCCTTTTACTTATTTAATATCTTTAGAGGAGGGTTGGCGATTGAATCAGGCCTGAATTCTCTCTAAAAGCAAAAATGGCAAAACAAACTGGACGCATTGTGGGAAGACAAGACTAGCTGCAAAAGACAGAAATACTAGGGAAAGTAGATGGCAGCAGGAAAAAAGGAAGACCAGATACAAGATGGTTTGATTCCATAAAGGAACCCACAGGCTTGAGATTGCAAGAGCTGTTAATGATAGGACCTTCTGGAGGTCACTCATTCATAGGGTCACCTTAAATCAGAGACAAGTCAATGACACAACAATAGCAGTATAATATAATATAGTATATTATGCACATCTGTCTTATTGCATACTTTATGACTTCCTGTATTCATTCAAAATATTTTCACAGCTTTATTGATATCAGAAAAGAATGAAATGTGGTTGTAGACCACTGTAACTACTCATTTACCAGAGCACAGACTACTGTCCTCTGAAGATGCCGGTCACAGAGACTGACGAAACGTTAGGAAGAACAACCTTCAGAACACGGCCAAAGAGCCTGAAAAACCCACAACAACCATTACTCATTTTAAATTCAAAATGCTTGGGGATCACTATCAAAGGAAACCTCGAAGCACATTACAGAAAACCATCTCACAATTTAAGAAAACACTGTTTAGAGATAGTCCATATGTTTATGTTCTGTTGTCTACTGTGGCAGCTAGTCAAATTAACTTCTGCAGGATTTTGTGATGGTTCCAGCTCTGACCTCTCTTGTGCACTAACAGCAACAACTGTCTTGAAAATATATGAATGACTACTAACTTACTGCTGCCGTGATATAGCTCCTCGGAGAGTTTCAGAGGCTTTACAGTAGCATATTTTACAGAGGAAAACCGGTTTTGGCTAGGTCTTAATTTCTTGCATTCTCTGATGTTGTGTGATGTCAAGTCTCCTCCAACTTATGGCGACCTTATAAATGAGTGATCTCCAGAATCTCCTATCCTCAAATGCTGTGCTCAGCTCTTGTAACTCAAGCCTATGGGTTCCTTTAGGAAGGTAGTCCATCTTACATTTGGTCTTTCTCTTTTTGTGCTGCGTTCTCTAGACAGATCTTCTTGTGAAATTCTTTGTTGCTCTCTAATAGCCAGTGGATATTTGCAATATGATCTCCAGTGCCTCTCTCTTTTCAGAATCCAGCTTGAACATCAAGTGTTTCTCACTCATATAAGGTAAAAAAGCTGTTGCTGAAACACCTTGAGCATTACTTTGCTTGCATGGGGAATTAAAACAATAGTTCAATAGTCATAGCACTCCTCGGTATCTCATTTCTTAGGGACTGGGATGTATATTGAGTGTTTCCAGGCTGTGGGCCATTATTTTGTTTTTCATATTTGTTGACATATTTTTGTCAGGATTTTGACAGATTCAGTTTCTGTGGCTTGAAATAGTTCAGTAGGTGTCCCCACCTATCCCTGGTGATTTCTTTCTTTCTAGTGCTTTCAGAACAGCTTTCACTTTGCTTTCTAGAACTGCAAGTTCTTCATCATAATATTCCTCTTCAAAGGAGTCCGTCATCCTTTTATCCGTTCTGTATAGGTCTTAATATACTATTTCTACCTTCTCTTTATTTTCTTCTGGTCAGATGGTGTGCTTCCCTGTGGGTCATTCAGCATTCCTAATCTAGGCTTGAATTTCCCTTTGATTTCTTGGATTTTTAGAAGAGATTTGTTTTTCCCTTTCTGTTGTGCTCGTACCCTCTTTTGTTTGTGTTTTGCATTGGTTGTCATAGTAATTCTCTTTGTCTCTTGTGAGGGCCCGCCAGATACCTCCTCCCCCACTCCAAATAAACCAGGAGACATTTTCAAACCAAAAGATTCATCTTGATTTATTAAACTTGGCAACGGCACAGAAACATTCACCAAACTAGGAGTAAACTTCTCCGGAAGGAGCAACGGCTCCGACAGGATTAGTTGACTTTGGTGCCCAGGGACCAGCCAGAACTCTTTCGGGTTCTTGGGGCACGACGTCTTCTGGATCTGGGACTAGTAAAGGTGTGGTCTCCTCATCCCCAGAACGGGGATCCTTCTCCCAAGTGGGTGTCCCATGGCCCAGGAAGCACCCCATCTTTCTCAGCTCCTCCATGTGCCATGCTCTCTTGGCCTCTCTCTCCATCGCCTCCTTTTCCTCCCTTAACTTGCCACTCACGAGTCTCTGACTCACCCCAGTAAGACAGGCGCTGGGGTAGTCCCTTCTTTCTGCGACTCTCAGCCTCCTGTTTAGGCACTTTCACTTGCTCCCACTTCCCAGTCCATGGGTTCTGCATCCACACCATTTCCCGGCCACCTGGGATACTGTCCCGGTCCCCTTTTATCTCCCCCATTCCCGCCTCTGCTACGGCCGGCCTCCCTTCTTCTTTTCCCGCCAAATCTTGTGTGGTCTGAGTAGCTACAGATAACCCTTTCATTCCCCTTTCCAAGTCCGAGGTATCGATGGCTTGATGTATCAGCTTGGGAGGGAATGGACGCGGAGCGGTCTGAGTTCCTACGGTTGCTTTGGGGCGAGACGGCGCTCCTACCAACGCCTCTTGACCCGAAGTCCGGGTCTCACATCTCTGTATGACAGTCACTGGAAAACAGCATTCTCCGTTAGCGCCTCGTTTTTTCACATTTTAGTCTGTATATTTATCCGGTTGTGTTCCATTGATAGCTGGCCAATTTTTATTTATTATTTTGTTTTTGGTCGTTTGGGGATAAGAAGATAGAGCTTATGTTATATAGTATGTCCAGAGTAGTGGTTTCCACTATGTCGGGAGGATAAATAAATAAATCAATCTTTAGCCTCCGCAAGCGTGCTTGGAGACAAATCCCAGTAAATGCAGTGTGACTTCAGCGTCAGTAACTCATTATATTCCTATGCCAGTGTATAAAATGTTTAGAGGTGCTTTATTGTTGAATAGATATGTATATTATTGTACTGTATGTGTGCACTAGAGATGTAAGGTGCAACTCGGTCCCATGCGTGTTACTCAGAAGTAATTCCCATTGACGTGAACGGGAACTCCTTCCTCAGAAATAAACGTAGCGCTGCAGTTCCCAGGACTACAATTCCCGAAATGCATGGCGCCTGGCCATGGTGGCTATCGGAGAGGAGTGCCTTCCTATCACTATGGCGCTGCCTACTATTCCCAGAATGCCGACTAAAATAGGATTTGGTTCCCTGATTGGTTAGTCCATGGAGACTCTTCCCGTTTTGTAACGTGGTTCTCTTTTGAGTCGGCTTCGGCAAGTCTCGGGAGGGCGAAGCGGAGCTACCGCCAGCATTAACGTTGGCGGGACGGGGGGTGGGGGCCTGCCTGGTCCATCTGGCGGGGCGATGTGTGTGTGGTTTGTCGCGGGCTGAGGAGGGTACGACCTGTGAGTATTGAGAAGCGGGTGGATGCCTTTGTGTGGAAGCTGTGGTTAAGTATCTATGTGTTTGTTGTTTGGTCTGGGGATAGCGAGGTTACGTGCGGGTTCGTCTGGGTGGGATGGGAGAAATCATTATTAGTAAGTCTCTGCAGTCATGAATCGAAGAAAGGACCATCTTAGGTACTTTGTAAAACTGCTGAGTACCTAACAACATAGTCTGAATTGCTTTCTATTTGTGAGTGATTATTTTCCCTTTAGTTTGGAACAAATATATACTAGGAGTAATAAAAAGTATGTAGCTGTAGAGTGAATTTAGAGCTAAGTCTAATCGTTACAAACTGGAATGATGGAAGAACACAATTTTCCTCCATTATCATTTTCATAACTTCTGTATAGCAGGCAGGCACTTCTGAATTTGCACAGAAGAAAGTAAGACCATAGGCATATTTAGATGGACTGATGCAACTACTTTGTTTTGGAAATTTAAACTATAAGTGAGTGATATTGTGCAGCAAATAAATATGTGTATATGTCCTGTGCTAAGGGTTCTTAAACTGTGATCCTAGTGAGATTGTCTTTTTAATTATATATGCCATTTTGGGTTATTTTTAAGGAAAAAGGTAGGATAAAAAATATTTTAAATAAAATAAAATATATAAATATTGCAATGATATAAACAGAAGAGTAGGCTTTCTCTATTGCAATGCAAGTATGCAAGAAGTTGTTGTAAAAATGAAATGACACAATGAAACTAACAGGATGCAGTTTCCTCCATACTTGTAAAATATTGGATTTTTATCACACCTTGTAGGATTTGTGATCCGAAAGAGAGAGAGGTACAATGGGTGGGTGTAGTGTAATTTGCAAAACTAATATGTATCCCCACATATCTGTTGGTAATGAGAACAAAAAAGAATAACATCCATTGGTACAATCTGTTTGTGAACCTGGGTAAGACAGAGATCTTGGGGGGCTCCTTGGAAAGGTTGGAGAGGATTACCCCTAGACTGCATTTTTCTTATCAGGGACCAAGTTTGTAATCTGGGCATGCTCATGGACCCAGCTCCAAGGTTCCCGTTAAGTTGGGTGCGCATATTTCCGCTTCCCTCCGCACAGCACTCTCCCTTCTCTGTGCAGCGATCGTGTTAGGGGCAAAGCTGCGCGAGGGAGAGGCGTAGCCCCACCCAGCAAATTAGAGGGTACATTGCCCAGCTCTATCATGGGAATCCCAGGTGGCAGCCATTTCCAGAGCTGTCTTTAATCAACTGAGGGGCATTGCCCAACTCCACTTCTTCCTGGATGAGAAATCGCTCAGGACTCTGATCATCTCCCTTACCAACTACTGCAGTGCTCTCTACATAAGGCTTCCCTTGGGTCTGGCCCAGAGATTGCAGCCGGTCCAGAATGCAGTGGCCAGACTGGTGGCTGGTGTGAGCATGTTTGACCACATTTCCCCAGTCTTGGCTCATCAGCACTGGTTACCTGTTGCATCCCAGATTCAAGGTTTTGGTGATGACGTATAAAGCCCTTCACAGTTTAGGATCATGTTAACTATCGGAGTGTCTTTTACCAAGTTCATAAACCCTCTCCACTAGGTCCTCCCAGGCCATGGTCCTCTGGGTTGGCACTTCAAGGGAGGCTAGGAAACAATCCACTAGAAACAGGGCCGCCTTTGCTGTGGCTCCAACTTTGTGGAACCAACTGTTGGTGGAGCTGCATTTGGCTTCTTCCCTCCCAACATTCAAAAGACATTTGAAATGACTGCTTTATAGAGGTGCCTCTTTTGGCAACCGTGCGTAATGTGTTTTTCTGCTGCTGTGCTTGTTTACGTGCCCCATGCTACATTTTATTCTGTAATTTTTCCCTTGGCCAACATTCCCTTTAAGCTGCATGCACACATGTGTGCAGACATCTATTGGAGCTGTGCACTGGCAGCTGGTGTTGATGCCCATTTAGTTCAAGTTCCAGATTGAACCCTGCCACACATGCACAGGGCAAGGCTCGTGTGCAGCATGGCCAAAAATTATAGGGAACATTGCCCTTGGCATTATTGTCTATGTCTTGTTCTGTGTAGTTTTATTTGTTTTGCTTTTATTATGTTTTAAAAAGGTAAAGTTAAAGGTTCCCCTTGACATTTTTAGTCCAGTTGTGTCCGACTCTAGGGGGTGGTGCTCATCCCATTTTCAAGCCGTAGAGCCAGCGCTTGTCCAAAGACAGTTTCTGTTGCCATGTGGCCAGCATGACCAGCGAACACCGTTTTACCTTCCCACCGAGGTGGTACCTATTTATCTACTCGCATTTGCATGCTTTCAAACTGCTAGGTTGGCGAAGAGCTGGGACAAAGCGATGGGAGCTCACTTAGCTGACTATAAACCACCCAGAATAGTGTATTTCACTAAGGGAGCAGTATATAAATTTAATAAATTAATTAATAAATAATAGACATGATGTACATGCACACTGCAATTCAGCATTTACTCTAACTAGAGATGGAGGTATTTGAATACGAATATCTACTGCAGCTGGAGTTAAAGAAGATCTGGCCCCTAGGGCCGGACTGTCCACTCACACATCTGACGGCCGTGGCCCCTCTCTTCCTTCCAATCACTCCAGAGCACTGCTCAGCTAGCCACTCGGTAGCCTTGCAGGAAGACTCATCTTACCTCCCTCTGCCGCGAATGGCTAGACAACTGGGAAGAAAATGGTGCTCAGGAGTGATTGGAAAGATGAGCAGGGCCAGCAGAGGCGGTGGACATGTGACTGGACAGTCCAGGTCCAGAAGCCGGACCCTCGTTAATTCCAGCTGCACAAGGATATTCGAATATGAATACCCCCATCTCTAATTCTAACTCTTGCCTGCCTCCAGGTGGTGCTGTAAGCTGGCACTTCACTTCACTTCATGCCACTTTACTATATCAAGCAAAATCGCAAGTAACAAAACAATACAAAAAAAGGCAAAAACATGTGGTGCCTGAAAGACTAATCATTATATTTTAATGTACATTTTCATGGACACGTCCACTTTGTCAGACATGAAGAAACAATGAAATGTTTATGAAATATCAGTTTCACGTTCTAAATGTTCACTGGTTACATGGCAGCTTCACTTTTTCCTCAGTTAATGTGGTCTATGCCATCTTTTGTCAACAACGCCTCTCTGGACTCTACATACGACAAACAGGACAATGTTACGGAAACAGATCAATGGCTGCAAATCTGACAGCAGAAACCACAATACACAGAAACCTGAAAACTGACATTAAAATATAATGGTTGGTCTTTAAGGTGTCACATGTTTCTGTTTTTCAAATTTTGTATTGCTTTGCTTTGTTTTGCTTCTTTGGATTTTGCCTGATATGCTTAAACAGACTAACATGGCTACCTCTTTTAAAGCAACTAGCTTCACAGAGTCTGGGCTGATCAACAGATATAAATCAGGAGGGTCAGGGAAGCTGGTAGTTGCCAAAGGAGATGTCTGAGTACACAGCAAAATGCTCAGCTTTATTGAATCAGGAGCGTGAGGGCCAGATTTACTTCCTAGTATGTGACAACTTCATCAGTCACATTACACCCCCACCCTTTTGCAGGAAAGGCTGGTGGCTCATTCCTCAAGAGTGTGTGTGAGCATTTTGCTCCCTGCTACTCTTCCTTTCATTGCCGTATGTTACAGACTTGCATGTCCCCCTGTTCCTTCCTATCATTTTCTCAGTTTATGAAGAAGTTGTTCACTGGCCTCAGTGCAGTTTTGTGGTATTTTCACAGATATGCAGTCTGCTTCTTTGTTGTGATTAGGTGAGAACTTGAGGACCCTTTATTCAGCATCTGTTTGCCTCTTTCAGTGCAGACTGAGCAGTCCATTTGCAAAAAGAAGGTTGCTCTTTCCTTTCCTAGTGACAGCCAATAACAGTTGAGTTCAGACATTATTTTTAGCCCTCTCTTATGAGTGGCTGCAGTTGATTGGGCACTTGATACTGTATAAGCCATGAACAACTCTTGCGCTCATGCATAGTTACTCTGATACCCAGATTCTCCAGAGCAGGTGTAATTTTAGATCTGCCTGGTAAAAGTCACTTCGGTGTAGTTTGCTGACTGATGCTGAAGTCCAGCCTTACTCTAGTGACCTTGTTGTCTCTTTTAAAGCACTTTACTTCCTTTCTACCCGATGAATTCCAGAAATGCCAGCCAATTTTAATCAATAGCTTAAACATATGAAGAGCATTAAGTCATTAACTACAAAGCAGTATTGGCATAGACTGTAGGGGTAGTCAGAGAGATCATAGCCCATAAGGAAATCTGCAGTAGTCCATATAAAGATTAGCACATTTGCTTTTAGGCATACTTACATGTGTAGCATTGCATTAAAATAATCTCCAGAAGTTTAAAGGGATGCCTCTGATTTTGTTTCTTGGTTGCAGTGATGACAGACAGCATTTCTTCTTCTTGGAGTCATGGTGGTTCTACTGTAGCTTTGGGATCTTTCTCAAAAATGCAAGTTTTCTCCTTGAGATAGAAGGTGTTCTTTCAGAACACAGCCAAGAAGCCCGAAAAACCCACAACAATCAACCATTGGATTGTTTATTGATGGCTGTTCAGTCTCATCATCTGTACTCCAGGCCTTAGAATTGCATCAGTACCTACAGGTGTATTTTATGTTTAGGGAATGTTTCTTCCTGTCACTTAATTCTTTAGTAATTCCTGTATATTATGGTCAGTAAGCATTTACATATGCTGATGCTTAGAAGTAAAAGGATGCTTCAGTAATGTCAGATCTTAATAATCTATCATCTATTCAGCAGAGTTTTTACACCCTATGTTAAATACATCTAGCTTGCATTTTTCATATCTTGTAATTAATTCATGCATTTGTTTCATGCATTTGATACTGATGTTGTAGTGGGTAGAGTGATGGACTAGGACTAAAGAGGCCTCGGTTTGAATCTCTGGTTAGCCATGGAAACTCACTGACTGTGGAACTGGTAGAACAACTGAATATCTCATTTACTGTACTTTAAAAGTCTTATTAGGGGCACAAAAAGTCATTTCTGACTTGATGGCACGTAACAATCATAATTTTAGAGAACAGGGATGATAAATGTGATATTTTAAACAGCGAAGATTATATGTTTGCTAGAGAAATGGATGGTTTTCCTCCAACCACATTCTGTCACCAGTTGTAGTTGTAACAGTTGTCGATAAGATAAGGGACAGTACATTGTGTGAGTGCTAATTATTGCTACTCTTATAACTGGAGAATGGAAGCAGATTCTAGCTGAAAGATTCACATTCTCATCCTGTCCTCTGTTGTTGGGTGCAATTAACCCTGCAGATATTTAGGAGTTCAATACTAAAAAGTAGCAGCTAGCATTGTGAAAGAACTGTGGGAATTACAGCCCACAAAACTAAAGGGTCAAAGATTTTTCACGCTGCTGTATAATGTAGCACAGAGGTCATCAACCCCCGGTCCGCGGCCCAGTGCCAGTCTGTGGCCTGAGCCGGACCGGGCCGCACAGACAGACCTCCCGCCCTCCCGGATGCATTCCCCTCCCCACAGCTGCTTTGCGCATGCACTCAAGCGCCCGCACGAAGGGGTGCGTGGGTGGGCGTGCAGGCGCTCCTGCGCCTGGGATGGAGGAGTGCTCATGCCAGTGCTGATGCGTGTGAGCGCTCCCCCCACTGCTTTGCACATGCACCCGAGAGTGCGAGCGTGGGGGGTGCCCTGCCTTCCTCAGAGGCTCAGCTGGTCTGTGCTCACAAAAAGGTTAGGGACCACTGTTATAGCAGACTATAGGGTCAGCAAGCTGGCTGAATAGGTTTAGGAGGTTGGGAGGCAGAGGTTGAGAGTTCAGTTCTCCACTATGCCTCCTGTGAGTAAAGCCATCCTGTGTAGCCTTGGACAAGCTGCACAGTCCAGGGGCACCCCTAAAGGAAGTCAATGCTAAACCACTTCTGAGTATTCTGTACCTGGAAAACCCTGAAAAGGATCGCCATAAGTCAGAATTGACTTGACTACACATGATTATTATATTTGATAGAGTCAGTTGTTTTCATTTAGTCAGGAAAAGGAAACCCCCCTCCCAGTGTTTGTGCTTGACCAATGAGGTTCCCTATAATACAAAATGAGTAAAGCACCAATAAACTACAATTTTGGCTTGCAGTTTCCAAGACCCCAAGCTAGCATGGAAAATGTTAGAAATTTTGGAAAGTATAATTCAAAACATCTGAAAGGCATTGCAAGGGGGGAAGACAGTAATGATTATAAATACATACATCCCACGCGTTTCACCCATCATTGCAATAGCTCTCAAAATACTATCCGACCAGTATTGCAGGCACTCCTCATTTAACAACCAAGTTCCGTTCCTATGATTAGGTTGTTAAGTGAAAACGGGAGCACACATTTGCAAAGGTCATAAAGGGTTTGAAATCCAAGTCTTTAAACAGGTAAATCCTTAAGTGAGGAGTGCCTGTACTAACTTTTATAATATAGAAAATGAATGGTGATACTCATATGTTTCAGTAAGTTGTGAAAATTGACCTACAACCCATAGCTCTTAGCTTGCAAATGCTCTTAACCGCTGTATTTCAAGACCACATCCTGCTTTCCAGTGATAGATAGTCCTGTGCAGCCACTGTGTAGCACGTTATTCTCATGTGGCCTATTCCAAGATAGGTTTTTTTTCAGATGTTAGTGATATGTTTGTTAGTATGCAGGGTTGACCTTGCCATTATACAGAGTGAGGCGTGTGCCCCAAATGGTAGATTTTGGATGTCATGAATGTGCAGCATATCTTTAGCTATTTAATTTGTTGTACTGTATTTTCACATTTAGGGATAAGGGAAATATACTTCTGCTTTTTCTACTGGAGTAATTTAGCAAGTTTGTAATTATTCATGCTGATGTGGATGCAGAGTTGTCATTTGTTGCTCTGTTTAAAGCAGCAAAATGTCCTGAGCCAGCCTTGTTAGTACGACTATCTAGAATTGTTAAACAAAATCTGTATCAAATGATTCATGTTTATCTACCTAAGTTAGGTTCTTTGGGATAATAAAAAAACTGGTGTAGTTTTTGATGGTGTGATGTACAAAGTTTGCAATTAATTGTTGCAACTTATTCTTTAAAAACATTGTTATATTAAATTGGGGTTTTTTTGTTGCGCTTAAGATCTCTCCTAAATCATGTGAAGTTGTATCTCTGATTTATCTGATCTTTATGTGTTTGTACTGTATTTCTGAAATAAGTAACATTATTTAAGAAAAGCATAATGCATTAGAATCTGGTTGATTCCTTTTAGTTAGCTGAGTAAGAAACATGGAGAGATCAGCCCAATCTCATCACTAAGCCTCTTCACACAGATTAGAACTTTGTTAGTATAAAATCACTCTTGAAGCATTTAAAGTAGAAAAGAAGGGGCCTTTAGTTACAGTTGCTGTCTATAGATACAGTCAGAAGGATAAAAACAAAACAAAAAAAAGAGTCGAGTCTCAACCATGTGTGTTACAGACCTTCCATGTTGGCCACATGGTCAGAGATCAGGGGTGGAGGGAGGCTAACCAAGAAAAGGAAGTGAAGCAAACAAATAGAGAGGAAAGGCAAGCCAGAGGTGGTAAAAAAATAATATTGGCAATAGGTTAGAATCCCATTAGGTCCTAAAAGCCTTATTCCCACTGTATTCGCGAAGGCTTTCATGGCTGGGATCTAATGGTTGTTGTGGGTTTTTCAGGCTCTTTGGCCGTGTTCTGAAGGTTGTTCTTCCTAACATTTTGCCAGTCTCTGTGGCCGGCATCTTCACAGGACAGCACTCTGAAGATGCCGGCCACA